GCAGCTCAACACTCTACATGGCGCTCCTCGATGTTTGCAAAATCGCCTAGCTTAGCAGGCTTAGCACTCCTGAATTGCATCAATGCGCGCAAAGCAAAGGCCAGAGTTTTACCGCCTAAGTCAGCCCAACCAAGAAAGACACTGAAGCAATCTTCATGAATTATCCTGGAATCCGGCTTCCACCTGGCGCCGTGAGAGAGTGCCTGTCTTGGTTCTGGTCATTTCTCAGAATTTGTCGAGCTTAGAATGTGACTGGGTGTTCGTTGGGGCCGTATAGTGTGGCTTGAAACCGCACACCCCGAGCAAGCCCCACCAAACCCAAGCAAACCCAAAGCACTAAGCTTTGGCTTCTCCTTCATGCTTTGTTGTTTTGCTGCTGCTGCCGTTGCATCTGCTGCTGCTGCTGCTGCTGCTGCTGCTGCGGTCGTCGTCGTCGTCGTCGTCGTTTAAGTCGTTGTTCTTCTTGTTCTCTTTGTTGTTATCTCTGTTGTTCTCTTTGTTGTTCTCTGGTTGTTGCGAGACTCAGGCGAGGCAAGCTTGGGACCGGCAAAGACCCAGAGGCCATCCTGGAGGTTCTACTCGTAAAGTGGGCTTTGAGGTGTAACATACCAGGGCGGGCTATTAGGCCCTATAATCCCCATAATCAACCCTTCAAAGGGCCTTTTTAAGAGGTTATGGGGTATAATGGCCCGTCCTGGTAAATGAGGGTTGTATAGTACACTCTGCACCTGCTTTGCGCCAACCACAATCAAAAAGAGCAGCTGCTTCCTTTGCCAATGCCGCGAGGGATTCAAGCGACCTCTCCGTCACTGGCTTGGTTCGTGTGGGGATGCAGCTGTCTGTGACTCTTGTATAAAACAAGGGCTCACAGCGAGAAAGTGCAACTGTGGACCTGTCTATACGACCTATGCGCCCAGACTTGGCGCCGCACTCTCCTTCTGAGCCCTCTTTTGCTAGTACTTCCGCTCCCACTCCCTCTCTCTCTCTCTCTCCCCCTCTCTCCCTATCTCTCTCTCTCTCTCTCGCTCACTCTCTCTCTCTCTCTCTTTCTCTCTCTCTCTCTCTCTCTCTCTCTCTCTCTCCCTCTCCCTCTTGCCAGGGTGATGACTCTCGTTCTTCCTCTCCGCCCCTCCCCCTCTCTCCATTGACCCTCGTCCCAAATTGCTCCCTCGCTCAGTCATGTCGAGAGCTCATTCCCTCGCATTCTTTAGGCTTCGAAGCTGCCTCATTCAAAGAGCCTGGCACCTGGTTCCATTGCGTGGTCAGACTTCCCCAAGCACACGGATAGTATCCACACAAGCCTCTTCGCAGAGGCAGCAGCAGTACATCTATGCAGATGCTGTTTGCTGCGCGCAGCAATGGTGCCGCGCTGAGCTTGAAGAAAACCATCAGAAGGAGCAATTGCTTTCTGGCACCTAAACCCTAAACCCTGACCCTAAGCCCTAAACCCTAAACCCTAAACCCTAAACCCTAAACCCTAAACCCTAAACCCTAAACCCTAAACCCTAAACCCTAGACCCTAAACCCTAAACCCTAAACCCTAAACCCATTTTGCTTCCAGCATGTGTGCTCATGTCCCCTCGTTGCCGAAGGCTGGGTGTTTGTGATGGAGTCTCAGGGGTGCAGAAGATGGGCGGGGAGCTCAAATTGGAGCCAAGGGTTTAGGGTTTAGGGTTCAGGTTCAAAGTGCCTCACGGGTTTGGCGGCAGCCCCATTAAAGATCAGAACTTCAGTATTCCGCTTCGGTGGTAGCTAACATAGGTCGTCTTGCAGTCGTTGTCCTCACAGTGTGTGCACTGCACGTGCAAAGTTCGCTCAGAAAGAACCACGTTCTGAAATCTGTGGCTTGTGAGGCATTGCCCCGGATTTGCTTCCAAGAGAGCTTCTTGCACAATGCCAGAAGGCAGGCTGCTGAATCAATGAGTCTGTGGCTGGAGAAGTCCGAAACCCTCAACAAAAAACCAAAATTCGCCCCAAAAACAAACCAAAATTCGCCCCAACTCCAGAACTTGGGGAGAATGAGCCCCCAGTCAAAGGTCATGAGCGCATCGCAAGATGTGTACGCGAAGGGCGAATGCGGCTCCTGGGTCCTTTCTGTGCTGAAGGCACTTTGGGTCCTTTTCGGGTTTCGGGTGTAGGGTTTCGGGTTTAGGGTTTAGGGTCTAGGATTTTAAAGCATGTCAGACGCAGCAGCGAGTGGGAGCTTCTGCATATCACGCGATGGTGACGGTTTTGTTTTGCTACACTTTCCTACACGAATTGGAGATGCAGCAGCCGCTTCGCACATCCTGTCGCAGGAAGCCTTCGCAGGAACATCTTCTCTGGGTGCCACCACAGTGCTCCTTGCTGGTATCGAGGACGCTGTTTCGTTGGCATGCCAGGATACAAGAACTGAAGAGACTGCTGGGAGGAATGCCAGCGCTTGGCAGTGATCACGCTTGGTGACTGCGCGTTGCTTGTGCTGAGGCTCTATTCTGCTACTCACTCAACCCCCCTCTTCTGTGACTGACCTTTCGAGCTGAGCTTGATTGGGGGAGGCCGACAAACGGCGACGACCTTCGCAGCGCTTTCCGCTCCCAACGCGTCATGATGCAGGAGAAGACGCCCGCACAGGCGCCTTGGTAGAAGTTGGAGGTTACGATAATAAGGGACCAGATAGACCCCACCCCGGGCAATAGTAGGATCCACTTATAACGAGGACCCCCGTAAGGTACCCCTGATATCGTAAACCCCCAAACTACTAATTGCTTCAGAACCCCAAAAAGAAACATTCTTCCTTATTAAGGGTAATATAGGGATTGTCATTTTTATTCTTTCGGGGTTCTTAAGCAAATAGTAGCAATCCCACAGGTGCTCCGTCTTCCTCATCAAATTACCGGCGAGCAGAAGGAGTTGCTGGAGGATTTCCGCTTGGACATGGCCCGCGCCCTCTCTTGCTCTACACACCGCTGTCAGACGCCATGCAGAGCCACTGAAAGAGCAAATGTACTTCCCCTTAATCTTATACTAGACTATTATACATCTATATCATTAGAATACTATAACCATGTACAATGTATGAGCACAACGTTAGCATTGCATATTACAATACAATCATAAGTCATATACTCCTATGAGTCAAACAACAATCTACAAAAAATAAGAGTATAATAATGATCTCATGGCATCTTGGAAAGCACAACGAAGCTGGAGTCCAACGCAGGTGCAGATCAAGCACGGTGACGTGGTCGTGCTTGGGTCTGACGGGTTATTCGACAATCTCAGTGATGAGGACAGCTGAGCAGGAATGTCACGCAGGGCTGTAAGCTGTGGGTGTAGAGCAGCCCTTCTCCTGTTTCAGCATCATGTTCGGCCTTGTTTGCAGTCATGTTCGGTGCCTCGAAACTTCGGATTGTGGGTCCGACGTTTGAGGGCTTTTCAGCCGCAAGGCCATCACTCACATCGTGCAGAACCACTGCAGGGGCCCCAGCCCTGCGAGTATCTTCAAGTGTATCCGGCAGAGAAAGCTCCATGATATGACGAACCGAGGTGCAACTGATATATCTATATATGGTCCGGCAATTTGAATTAGGCGCCTGGGACGGCAGTATGACAGAAGTGCCGTTCACTTGTTTGAGATGGTTCATGATGTTTCATGATGGTTCATGATGGTTCATGCATCTTGCCGCAGGGCTGTTTGCGTGCAGCGATTTTGTTCTTCGCACGGAGAGAAACATGGGCTTGGACCAGCAAGCCTGGTTGAAGTGTAGTTGCTTCGTACTTCATAAAAAAACGCTCAATCATTCATCGTGTCGCGAGTTGGTTGACGAGGACACCACGAGTTGTGCGTCATGGCAAGATCGCGAAGCTTGGGAAGGGGCGTGGCCGGCACTTTGGGCGCCGTCTTGACCAGGTTGTCGAGGTGTCGCGCTGGGTGAGTCGGTCCGAGTGGGTCTGAGTCCGCGTTGAACACCTCGTGGCTCGTCGGCTGGCGGCCGTAGCCGCGACAGCAGCTTTTCGCCTTCGCTGGCACAGTTGCGTCGCCGCGCGTTGAGCACCGCGGCGGACTTCCTAGAATCAGCGAGGGTTGGCATGCATGGATACGCGTGGCACGCGGCCTCCACGAGTTTCGGCGGACGTATGGGCACGAAGGATGACGTCGACGACTTCCGGCTTCCGCGAGTCTCGACGGGAGGATCACGCTGCAGACCGCCCCAGGTGCGCCGCGAGTTTCTCAACGTGGATTAGTGGACTTCGCAACTTTCACAATCAGGGTGAATGAGTATCATTCTATTTGGCGAATTGCGAGTATCGCAAAAGGCCCAAAATTCTCCATTGCTCATGGCAAACTTTGCAAGGTCCCTGGTGGGGACCAAGAATTTCCTCCATTCTCAAGGGGAACCCCACATGAGCCCCAACATGACTTCTGTTGGAAAGGCCTCACCCAGGACACCTGGATAGCATTTGATGCCCGAAGGTGGATCTGGATGGCAAGATGCAGTTGCAGAACGATTTATAGCGAGGAGATGTACAGTGTTTGGGGTCTGTTGGGGTGGGCTTGCTTGCAGAATCCGGAAAACAGAAAAAAGAATCCGGATCTTGGGCATGGCCGAACCCATAGCCGAAATGTAAAACGTAGGTTCGGCCATGCCCGAGGCAAATTCTGGGTATGGTTTGGGGTTGTGTCCCCCAGTTTGGTCTTACTGCCGATAAAATGTCGCAATCGTCAATGGGGTTCACCCTTCAGTGTTCGACATTGCCTCCTTTGTTCGGTGTGTCAAAAGCTTTTTTTTCTGCTTGGCGGATCTTCGCAAATCTTCGCAAGCTGGCAAATGCACGCAGAAACCACAGAACTAGAGAAGCGCAATGAGAAGCACCGAGCAGCCTATACACGAGTTTAGGATAGTTGAGTTTCGTAGCAGGAGTGCGAATGTTTTCGCCGCAGAGCGCAGAAAACCCATGAAACGGTGCTGTGCTTGAGGAAATGGCAATCGGCGGAACGCGCGGAGATGAAACCCGCAATGTTTTCGCCGGCGGAGCGCGCGGAGAGGAAAGCCGGAAAACTGGGCTACGCTCCACGAAATGGCAATGTTTTCGCCGGCGGAGCGCGCGGAGAGGAAACCCGGAAAACTGGGCTGCAAGAAATGGCAATGTTTTCGCCGGCGGAGAGCGCGGAGAGGAAACCCGCACGAAATGGCAATAATTTCGGCGGCGGAGCGCGCGGAGAGGAAGCCCGCAAAGCTGGGCTACGCTCCACGAAATGGCCATGTTTTCGCTGGCGGAGCGCGCGGAGAGGAAACTCGCAAAACTGGGCAACGGTCCAGGAAATGGCAATGTTTTCGCCGGCGGAGCGCGCGGAGAGGAAACCCGGAAACTGGGCTACGCTCCACGAAATGAATACCCGGAAACTGGACTACGCTCCACGAAATGGCAATGTTTTCGCGGAGAGGAAACCCGGAAACTGGGCTACGCTCCCCGAACTGGCAATGTTTTCGGCGGCGGAGCGCGCGGACAGGAAACCCATAAATTGGGCTACGCTCCACGAAATGGCAATGTTTTCGGCGGCGGAGCGCGCGGACAGGAAACCCGGAAACTGGGCTACGCTCCACAATGTTTTCGGCGATGGAGCGCGCGGAGAGGAAGCCCGGAAACTGGGCTACGCTCCACGCAATGGCAATAATTTCGGCGGCGGAGCGCGCGGACAGGAAACCCGGAAACTGGGCAACGCTCCACGAAATGGCAATGTTTTTGGCGGCGCAGCGCGCGGAGAGGAAACCCGGCCGGAAACTGGGCTACGCTCCACGAAATGGCAATGTTTTCGCCGGCGGAGCGCGCGGAGAGGAAACCCGGAAACTGGGTTACGCTCCACGAAATGGCAATTTTTTGGCGGCGGAGCGCGCGGACAGGAAATCCGGAAACTGGGCTACGCTCATGTCGCCGGCGGAGCACGCGCGGAAACTGGGCCACGCTCCACGAAATGGCAATGTTTTGGCGGCGGAGCGCGCGGACAGGAAACCCGGAAACTGGGCTACGCTCCACGAACTCGCAATTGTTTCGCCCGGAAACTGGGCCACGCTCCACGACATGGCAATGTTTTCGGCGGCGGTGAGCGCGGAGAAGAGAAACCCGGAAACTGGGCTACGCTCCACGAAATGGCAATGTTTTCGCCGGCGGAGCGCGCGGAGAGGAAACCCGGAGACTGGGCTACGCTCCACGAAATGGCAATGTTTGTGGCGGCGGAGCGCGCGGAGAGGAAACCCGGAAACTGGGCTACGCTCCACGAAATGGCAATGTTTTTGGCGGCGGAACGCGCGGTCAGGAAACGCGGAAACTGGGCTACGCTCAATGAAATGGCAATGTTTTCGCCGGCGGAGCGCGCGGAGAGGAAACCCGGAAACTGGGTTACGCTCCACGAAATGGCAATGTTTTCGCCGGCGCCGCGCGCGGAGAGGAAACCCGGAAATTGGGCTACGCTCCACGAAATGGCAATGTTTTTGGCGGCGGAGCGCGCGGACAGGAAACCCGCAAACTGGGCTACGCTCCACGAAATGGCAATGTTTTCGGCGGCGGAGCGCGCGGAGAGGAAACCCGGAAACTGGGCTACGCTCCACGAAAGGGCAAATTTTTCGCCGGCGGCGCGCGCGGAGAGGAAACCCGGAAACTGGGCTACGCTGCACGAAATGGCAATGTTTTCGCCGGCGGAGCACGCGGAAAGAAAACCCGGAAACTGGGCCACGCTCGACGAAATGGCAATGGTTTCACCAGCAGAGCGCGCAGAGAACAAACCCGGAAACTGGGCTACGCTCCACGAAATGGCAATGTTTTGGCCGGCGGAGCGCGCGGAGAGGAAACCCGGAAACTGGAAATGGCAATGTTTTCGCCAGCGGAGCACGCGGAGAGGAAACCTGGAGACTGGGCTACGCTCCACGAATTAGCAATGTCTTCGGGAGGAGCGCGCGGACAGGAAACCCAGAAACTGGGCTACGCTGCACGAAATGGCAATTGTTTCGCCGGCGCAGCGCGCGGAGAGGAAACCCGGAAACTGGGCTACGCTCCACGAAATGGCAATGTTTTCGGCGGCGGAGCGCGCGGCAGCGCGCGGACAGGAAACGCGGAAACTGAGCTACGCTCCACGAAATGGCAATGTTTTCGGCGGCGGAGCGCGCGGAGAGGAAACCCGGAAACTGGGCTACGCTCCACGACATGGCAATGTTTTCGGCAGCGGAGCGCGCGGAGAGGAAACCCGGAAACTGGCCGGCACGAGGCTATTGCCGGGAGGAAATGATGGGCGTTTTTTTTCCCACACGGGTCAGGAACTCGGGAGTTCATTTCTTCCGACACGAGGCTATTGCGGGGAGGAAACTATGGGCGTTTTTTTCCCACACGGTTCAGGAACTCGGGACTTCATTTTTTTCGGCACGAGGCTTTTGCGGGGAGGAAGCTATGGGCGTTTTTTTTCCACACGGTTCAGGAACTCGGAAGTACGTTTTTCCGGCACGAGGCTATTGCGGGAAGGAAACTATGGGCGTTTTTTTCCCACGCGGTTCAGGAACTCGGAAGTTTATTTTTTCCGGCACGAGGCTATTGCGGAGAGGAAACTATGGACACGGTTCAGGAACTCGGAAGTGTTTTTTTTGTCCCGGCACGAGGCTATTGCGGGGAGGAAACTAGGCGCATTTTTTTTCCACACGGTTCAGGAACTCGGAAGTTTGTTTTTTCCGGCACGAGGCTATTGCGGGGAGGAAACTATGGGCGTTTTTTTCCCACATGGTTCAGGAACTCGGAAGTTTGTTTTTTCCGGCACGAGGCTATTGCGGGGAGGAAACTATGGGCGTTTTTTTTTACACGGCTCAGGAAATCGGAAGTGGATTTTTTCCGGCACGAGGCTATTGCGGGGAGGATACTATGGGCGTTTTTTTCCCACACGGTTCAGGAACTCGGGAGTTCATTTTTTCCGGCAGGAGGCTATTGTGGGGAGGAAACTATGGGCGTTTTTTCCCCACACGGTTCAGGAACTCGGAAGTTTGTTTTTTCCGGCACGAGGCCATTGCGGGGAGGAAACTATGGGCGTTTTTTTTCCACACGGCTCAGGAACTCGGAAGTTTATTTTTTCCGGCACGAGGCTATCGCGGGGAGGAAACTATGGGCGTTTTTTTTCCACACGGTTCAGGAACTCATAGGAACTCGGACGAACTCGAAAGTGGATTTTTTCCGGCACGAGGCTATTGCGGGGAGGAAACTATGGGCGTTTTTTTCCCACACCCCTCAGGAACTCGGAAGTCTATTTTTTCCGGCACGAGGCTATTGCGGAGGAAATTATGGGCGTTTTTTTTCCAAACGGTTCAGGAACTCGGGAGTTCATTTTTTCCGGCACGAGGCTTTTGCGGGGAGGAAACTATGGGCGTTTTTTTCCCACACGGTTCAGGAACTCGTAAGTTTGTTTTTTCCGGCACGCGGCCATTGCGGGGAGGAAACTATGGGCCTTTTTTTTTCCACACGGCTCAGGAACTCGGAAGTTTATTTTTTCCGGCACGGCTACTGCGAAAAAAAAACTATGGGCGTTTTTTTTCCCACACGGTTCAGGAACTCGGAAGTTCATTTTTTCCGGCACGAGGCCATTGCGAGGAGGAAACCATGGGCGTTTTTTTCCACACGGGTCAGGAACATGCAGGAACTCGGAAGTTTATTTTTTTCCGGCACGAGGCCATTGCGGGGAGGAAACTATGGGCGTTTTTTTCCCACACGGCTCAGGAACTCGGAAGTTTGTTTTTTCCGGCACGAGGCTATTGCGGGGAGGAAACTATGGGCGTTTTTTTGCGACACGGTTCAGGAACTCGGGAGTTTGTTTTTTCCGGCATGAGGCTATTGCGGGGAGGAAACTACGCGCGTTTTTTTCCCAGACGGTTCAGGAACTCGGAAGTTCGCTTTTTCCGGTACGAGGCTATTGCGGGGAGGAAACTATGGACACGGTTCAGGAACTCGGAAGTTTATTTTTTCCAGCACGAGGCTATTGCGGGTAGGAAACTATGGGGGCGTTTTTTTCCCACACGGTTCAGGAACTCGGAAGTTTGTTGTTTCCGGCACGAGGCTATTGCGGGGAGGAAACTATGTTTTTTTGCCACACGGTTCAGGAACTCGGAAGTTTGTTTTTCCGGCACGAGGCTACTGCGGGGAGGAGAATTCGGAAGTGGATTTTTTCCGGCACGAGGCTATTGCGGGGAGGAAACTATGGGCGTTTTTTTCCCACATGATCCACATGGTTCAGGAACTCTTTTTTTTTCCTGAACTCGGAAGTTCGTTTTTTCCGGCACGAGGCTATTGCGGGGAGGAAACTATGGGCGAGTTTTTTTCCACACGGCTCAGGAACTCGGAAGTTTATTTTTTCCGGCAAGAGGCTATTGCGGGGAGGAAACTATGGGCGTTTTTTTTCCACACGGCTCAGGAACTCGGAAGTTTGTTTTTTCCGGCACGAGGCTATTGCGGGGAGGAAACTATGGGCGTTTTTTTCACCCACGGTTCAGGAACTCGGAAGTTTATTTTTTCCGGCACGAGGCTATTGCCGGGTGGAAACTATGGGCGTTTTTTTCCCACACGGTTCAGGAACTCGGAAGTTTGTTTTTTCCGGTACGAGGCCATTGCGGGGAGGAAACTATGGGCGTTTTTCTCCACATGGTTCAGGAACTCGGAAGTGGATTTTTTCCGGCACGAGGCTATTGCGGGGAGGAAACTATGGCATTTTTTTGCCACACGGTTCAGGAACTCGAAAGTTTGATTTTTACCGGCACGAGGCTATTGCGGGGAGGAAACTATGGGCGTTTTTTTCCCACACGGCTCAGGAACTCGGAAGATTATTTTTTCCGGCACGAGGCTATTGCGGGGAGGAAACTATGGGCGTTTTTTTTCCCACACGGCTCAGGAACTCGGAAGTTTGCTTTTTCCGGCACGAGGCTATTGCGGGAAGGAAACTATGGGCGTTTTTTTCCCACACGGTTCAGGAACTCGGGAGTTATTTTTTCCGGCATGAGGCTATTGCGGGGAGGAAACTATGGGCGTTTTTTTTCCCACGGAAGATTGTTTTTTCCGGCACGAGGCCATTGCGGGGAGGAAACTATGGGCGTTTTTTTTCCACACGGTTCAGGAACTCGGAAGTTCATTGTTTCCGGCACGAGGCTATTGCGGGGAGGAAACGTTCAGGAACTCGGAAGTTAGTTTTTTCCGGCACGAGGCTATTGCGGGGAGGAAACTATGGGCGTTTTTTTTCCCACACGGTTCAGGAACTCGGAAGTTTGTTTTTTTTTTCCGGCACGAGGCTATTGCGGGGAGGAAACTATGGGCGTTTTTTTGCCACACGGTTCAGGAATTGGAAGTTTGTTTTTTCCGGCACGAGGCTTTTGCGGGGAGGAAACTATGGGCGTTTTGGGCGTTCAATAAAGTTGTATCCTGATTAGTGTGGACCCCGGCAATAATGAAAAGTTTTCAAAAAACAATTCAGGGACAAAGATTCGGCTGCCCCCCCACTAAAATGAAAAGTTTTTCGGGCATGGGTTTCGGAAGAGAGAAAAAGCTTACCTGAGCTGAGCTCATCTGAGCTTACCTGAGCTAAACCTTGAGGCCTGAGGTTGTCGGGTCCTGAAATCTTCAGTCTCCAGGCCAGCCCCAAAACTAAGATTTCCATATAAAATGCTTTTGTACCGAGGCCGGGCAATCAAATTTCCAAGGGGGTAGTCCAGCAGCTGCCCGAATGCCGTATAATATAAAACCTTTGCTCCCCCGGAATTATATATATTTATTGCGGGCTAGTTGGGTTTGCATCCAGAGGCCTAAGGGCTGAGGCTTCCTAAACCTTGAGGCCTGAGGTCGTCGGGCCCTGAAATCTTAAGCCTCCAGGCCAGCCCCAAAGCTAAGATTTCCTTATAAAATGATTGGTACCGAGGCCGGGCAATCAAATTTCAAAGGGGGTAGTCCAGCAGCTGCCTGAATGCCGTATAATATAAAACGTTTGCTCCCCCGGAATTATTATTTTTTTTTGCGGGCTGGCTTGGTTGGGATAGATGGATCCCCTTTAAATTCATATGCAAACAACATTACCGAAGAGGAAGAGGAGAGGAAGAGGAGAGGAAGAGAGGAAGAGGAGAGGGAGAGGAGAGGGAAGAGGATCCAAGAGGAAATGAAGAGGAGCCGGTGGGGGGGGGCCCGGGGCCGAAAATTAGTTTGGGGGGTCCCTTTTTTTTTTTATTACTATTGCGGGGGTGGAATTAGTTTGGGGGGGAGGGCGGGGCGGGGGGGGCCCACACTAATCAGGAGACCACATTAATGATCATGGGCCGAATTCTGCCTCCGAAGCCTTTCGACAGCACATGGAAACCCCTAAGAAGCCCTGAACCTTCGTATGCTGACTAGGAAGGCTTTGCATTCGAAGCTTCTGTGAAGCTCAACCCCCCAAGCCCTGAAACTGATCCTGCAATGACCCTTTCAAGTTCGACGCAGAAGACGTGACGCTTGGGGAGAGAAGCTGCTGAGAAGAGACAGAGAGGCTTTCACCTCAGAGGTGACACAGATATTGGGGGGTTCCCGACATTAGGGGCGGTGCTTTGTTGGGGTCCTCATTAGAAGGGAATCCTGGAATCCTACTATTTGGGGACTATATTAGGGGTCCCGTGTTTTCGTAGACCCGCAATATTTTGGAAAGCTGAGGACAAACACCTCCTGCTGCCTTCTTTTTCTGGCCATTCTGACGTACGTCGGCCTTCAAGAGCCTTAGCTCTGGCCCTTCTCTCTCTTTCTCCCCCTGTGAGAACCCCTTCCTTCTTTCCCTCTTCGTATCGGTCCCTTTGTTTGGTGGATTCATGTGCTGGTGTATCCTTCTTATGCAAGTTTCTTTTTTTGTTTTTTGTTTTTGTGTCCTTCTTTTGTGAGCCATGCGGATGCTTCTCAACTGCATTGCGCAGTCCTGTAATGGCGTGTGTACAGTGAGTCCGACCAGGCAGTCAGACGAGAGTTGGAATCGGCATACAAGGCAGGCAAAGCAAAAGTGCAAAGCAACTGCAAAGCAAGTGCAAGGCACAAATGCTGTCTGTTGTCGGTGACTCGATGTCACCTTGATGATGCACTAGTCGTGAGCCAGTTCGAGCCCCATCTGCCAGTTTGGTGCGATGTAGCGTGTACTCCCACTCTGAACCAGAGTTCTGGCAGTCACCGGGTTGGTTGCATTCCAGTGAGCATCGCACAGTGATGCGAGAGTCTTCGAGACCTTTCCTGACTTGGCCCTCGAAGGCTGATGGCGTCCGAGACCCTTGGCAAGGCAAGGGCCGTGGAGGACGCTAAGATTTTGAGCGTGCACGGCGTGTACAGTACAGCCAAGCAGCTGTAGGGATTGGAAGACTTTGTTCGGCTCAGGACATGCCAAGGGACACCGTGACGCCCCAGCGCGCTCTACGCAGTCCACAAGCTCGGAGCCTCTCAGCTGGGGCCCCAACACGACGCAAGCGTGCAAAACGGCCACTGGGTGTCTTGTACGAGCCAGCCGCCAGCTTAAATGCTCCAACATAAGACGGCTCAATTGAAAGTGTTTCAGACGACTCGATTTGAAACTGTTTTCAGGCAGCTCAATTCGAAAGTGTTTCAGGCGACTCCATTGAAAGTGTTTTCCGTGACTCAAGTTGAACTAGCCTCACTTGCCGAAACGTTTTGGAGTTTTTCACTTGAGAGGTCAAGCAAACATGGCGCAGCAAGAGCAGAGCCAAACATACTGCATGCTCAGGTGTGAGCACCTGTGTTGTCGTGAAGAGATGCAAATCCCACCTTTTGGTGCACAGCATCCCACTCCATGCAAGTCGGTCCATGACTCGCAAGTCGAACTGGCGTCGACGCTGTAATGGGCAACATTGGGCAACGTTGGTTTCCGGCCCCTTCTCTCCCTTTTCAACGGTTGTAGCCAGATTGTAGCAGTGAGCTTCAGCGTTCGACGGCGTTTGGTGCTGGGCTTCTGAGGTTGCTTGATGCTCAGCCCTCACTGCTTGAACGAGGCGTGCAAGTCAGCGGAAGTCCGCTGAAGCCATGGGGATTCCGAGGTATTCCGTGAGCGACTGGTGAATTTTTTTCAGAGTTGGCTTCTTTCCCCCCATGTTTTGCAGGATGCCCCGGGCGGCCGCTCCAAGGTCTGCAGCTCCGTTGCCACTGTTGGCGGCTCACAGGGTTCTGGTTGCAAGGGTCAGCCAAGCCAGGCTACAGTGCTAGGCCCAATCAGGCCCGGGCAGAAGGGAAGGTCTCAAAAGACGCGGATGTCCCCGGTGGCCAGGCCTTTGGAAGAGCTGCGGCCCTTTCCTGGACAGGCGCTTTCCATTGTTGTGCAAGCAACTCGTTCTAGTCTTGTTCTGCTGTTGACCAGACCGTTTGAAGCCTAGCCACCAGCCATAGACTCCCAAGTGATCCCACATGGACGTGGACCTGGATCGCTTAACTTTTGCACCAATCGCAGGGGTCGAGATCTGTGGGATCGAGGTTCGGAAGGTTTCAAAACGATCGGGCGGAGGCCGAGGAGAGCGGCCACGAGGTGCAGCGCCCCACCGAGCAGCCGGCGCCTCACGTGGCGCCTGAAAAGGCACCTCGGGGGGGGTCGCTGGAAGCGCTCGCGGGCCCACAAAAACTTATCACGTTGCTTTATGCCATGCCTCTTGAGCAGGCTGACGGCTTTTGATCCTAACATCTCGAAAGTCCGAAGCACTTCCTGAGGTCCACCAGCCCAAGCGAATCGACAGAAAGCGACACATCAGAGGAGGCCTCGCGCGAGGGGTTGCATTTCGAAGAGTTTAAATCGGACCAAGGCCTAGGCAACCTCGCGCAACGTATGAGCTCCATTGGTGCACCATGAGTGCTCCACTCGTGCTCCATGCCGTTCGCTGAACTATTGTCATGATTAGACGATTATTACGATCATTATTGTCATGATTATCATCATTATTCACTCGCTGAAGAATGAATCGTTTCTTCATGTTCTCTTGATACAGGTGGGATTTGTGTTGATTGTTCACCATCTGCTATTAATTCTGGGTCGTCATCTGCTTCTTCTTCTTCTTCTTCTTCTTCTTCTTTTGAGTCTTCTTCTTCTTCCTGTGCTATATCTTCTTCTTCTTCATCCATAACACCGACGGGTAAAGATTGCGAATGGGGAGGTGCTGCGTCTCCCGTGGCTCGACGTTCAGGCATGCTGTACCGCTCTTGTGTTGCCCTCCAAATGGTTCATGGTACTTGTTATCCAATGATAACTGTACTTATATAACCCACTTATAAGCCCCTTAAGTGCCTCAATGTGGTTGTAAGTACAGTTTTAAGTCCAGTTTTCATTGGTTAAGTAGTACCATGAACCTCCAAGCACAGCATGCCATGAGGTCGTTGCGGTTGATAGTCTATTGGTAAGTGGCACAAACCACCAAGCGTACCTGACCAGGCCCGAGGTTCCATCGCAATGCCAGGGCCTCGTTAGGCAGTTAGGCTGTGATATTTGGGGTTTACGAAAATGCGGGTACCTTCTTGGGGTCCTTATTATAAGGGAATCCTACTATTTGGGGTCTGTATTGGGGTCCCTCATTTTCGTAAACTCCCATTTGAACCGCAAAAGCCAAAGCCTGGCTTTGGTTTTTCGAGTTGCTCGACTGGGCGGCAAAGAAGGGCTGCCTGCTCGCAGGGTCTCTGGCGAACTGACGATGGTGCTTCCTTGTGTTTTTCAGGTCTGACCTGAACTCCGCGGACACTGCTCAACTGAGACGTGCAGGCGTAACATTTCAGCTCAAGAGTGTGTATAGGTTGCGGTTGTCCTTTGATCAGGCAAAGCTTGTCATAGAAGCCTACCCCTATAAATTGTAGATGGTTTTCATGCCAGAGCCCATGCAAGACAAACAGAGAAAAGCCCTGCAAAAAAAGCGCTGCTCTTTGTTGCCTCGCTCTCTGAGAGCAAACAAAGGAGGCGCATTGCGTCACATTGTTTACGCCTTTTTCTTGGAGCCATTGGCAGAAGGAATGCTCTGCACCAGCACGGAAGGGTGCATGAGTTCCGGTGTTGCTCAGCTGGCCCGTACGGGGCCTCTCAAGGTGTACCGCGGTAAAGCTGCAAACTTTAGCATCGGCTTGTAGCTTGGCAAGGTTAGTCTACAAAGTACCGAGGGAGACGGGCCCAACGGTTGGCCACTATCTGCTTCGTTTTTCATGCGGGGTAGGGGGTAAGGGTAGCGGGGGGCGGTGAGGGGGGTGGGGCGGGGGGTCATCACTGACTATCACTGACTGTTGGGGTCGGTGGATAAACGAGTAGGTGTGAAGCGGTTCGTGCAGGCTCGACTTGGAACCAACTTGTATGAGGGCAAAGTTTTCTTTTGTGCCTTCGCATGTCAGAAGTTGTTCCCATTCCTCCAGTTTGCAGTTTACTGGCAACACATTTGACCCCAAATCTAAGGTTGTAAACAAGATTCAATGGAGGAGTGCTGGAGGTTAGATTGTGAAAAAAACACTTTTTAACGTGAAAAGAACGTAAAAACAGCGTGAATAGGCTTTTGGGAAAACGTAGAAAAAACGTGGAAAAAACATGGAAAAAAAGGTTGTGTAAAACACAGGAAACATGGTTTAAAGATGCTGACCAGCCGAATCTCAAGCTCGACAATCCCCAGAGCGAAGTACCGCGGCTGCTTTGCTCAACATAGTTTGAGAGGTTTTGTAGCCCTGGCGTTCTTTACGTTTCGTTTCCGCTATGGCTGCTCCGGAGCCACGTCTTTTCTTGTGCCTTTAGGGTGCTAGGGCGGCTAAGCTTGGCCTGAAGCGTGTGGACGGGAGGACATGTCTTCGGCGCTCTCCAGCTGCGGCATCACTTTCACATTCGAGGATGGCATGCTGTTTGGAACAAATTCGCATGGAACCATTTGGAACCATTGGGAAATCGAAGAGGAGCTGAAGGTCTTGCTGCACTCCATGGGCCAAAACCCATCGGAGCACGAGCTACAGGAGATGCAGTAGCGCCAAAGAGAAACACACAATACTATTGACGAATAAAGATGAAAGCAAGCATGCAAAAAGACTGGGGTGGATTACAGGTTCTTCCCCCCACAAACGGATTCGAAGCTGCATCTCCCTCCCACGTTTACTGTTCTTCGCCTACAGATTTCTTGAGAAGGAGGGGTGTTTGCGTGCTTTGCCCCCTAACCCCGGGCCTTGAAACTTCAAGTCTCAGCCCTCCTGAAGCCTTAACGCTTCAAGTCTCAATCCTCCTGCAGCCACAAACATGCTCAAAACAAAAACGCGGACCCCGCACTTACTCGAAGCATTCGCCCTTCCGAACTATTGACTTCAGAGTTCGTAGTTTGGATTTTGCTTCCATGTCAAGAAATGCAACACAAAGCGACAAAGCCCCGTTGTGCATGTCCTCTGTCAAGTGTTGGTGGTGGTGGTGGCGGTGGTGGTCCTAAAACCCTGGAATCTCCACATGCCGGCGCCAAGGGCAGACTCCGTGAATCTCAAGCCATTCGGGAGGCCTTGGAGCGCCTGCCTCGGCTTCCGGATCCTTGTTGCAAAGGTTTGCGAATGTGGACTATTGGCTATTGGCCACGAATCCCAGACCCCAAAACAGCCCAGGGGGCAATCACGGAAGAACCGCGGCAAGAAGCAGCCTCTCTGTGCATTGGATTTCACTCTGGGGTCTGGGGTTTAGTGGTGTGTGCACACTGAAAGTCAAATGCTCATTAATCTGCTACCTAGTCTTGTAGAGGTTGCGACATTTATGCACCCTGGCCACGAATAATTCACGAGTTGGGGCAAGGTGGGCAAACAGAGGGTGTGGCAAGGAGGACCTGGAGATGCCTCCATTTCGCCAAGCTTGGGATGAGGTGGGCCGCCGTTTGGCTCTCAGAGTTTGCGACCGATCCTCGATGTTGCACCCGCGCACTCCACAGCACCCTGAGGCTGGCAGTCAAGTTGAGCATCAACATCCCATCTAGACGCGATTGATTTTGGTTGAGGAGCAAAGACTGCCCTCTTCTGACCAGGAGCCGGAGGCACCCTGGCCACGAAAAATTCACGAGTTGGGGCAAGGTGGGCAAACAGAGGGTGTGGCAAGGAGGACCTGGAGATGCCTCCATTTCGCCAAGCTTGGGATGCGGTGGGCCGCCATTTGGCTCGGAGAGTTTGCGACCGATCCTCGATGTTGCACCCGAGCCTTTTTTTGCCTGAGCTGCCACCCGGGCTCGCCCCTCCCTGGCTCGCTCAGCCCGGGCGCGCTCCACAGCACCCTGAGGCTGGCAGTCAAGTTGAGCATCAACATCCCATCTAGACGCGATTGATTTTGGTTGAGGAGCAAAGCCTGCCCTCTTCTGACCAGGAGCCGGAGGCACCCTGGCCACGCATAATTCACGAGTTGGGGCAAGGTGGGCAAACAGAGGGTGTGGCAAGGAGGACCTGGAGATGCCTCCATTTCGCCAAGCTTGGGATGAGGTGGGCCGCCATTTGGCTCGGAGAGTTTGCGACCGATCCTAGCCTTTTTTGCCAGGAAGGTGAGCTGCCACCCGGTCTAGACGCGATTGATTTTGGTTGAGGAGCAAAGCCTGCCCTCTTCTGACCAGGAGCCGGAGGCACCCTGGCCACGAATAATTCACGAGTTAGGGATGCCGGGGACGGCCCGTCCTTGAAATCCATGTTTTTTCTGACCCACTCCCTCCCGGCCCGCCGCCCCCGCGCCACCCCGCCCCCCCCCCTTCTCCCGCGCCCGCCCGTCCCTACACCCCCCACCGCCCCAGCCGCACCCCCCACTGCCGCCGTCCCAACCTTCGAGCCATGGGTGAGCTAGTCTTACAGTAGCTATAGAGGTTTCATACGTTCAAGAATAGCAATTTGTTTACTTTTTTTACGTTTTAGGATGCACGATCTGTCTACCGTTTTTTTTTCACGCTTTTTCTGTATTTTGCAGGGGAGAACGTGGCTTTCCTCCTGGAAGCACGATTTCTCTACCTTTTTTCATGTTAATCTACGTTCGTCAGCATCATCGAAGTGCGTTTTGTTTACGTTCATTTCGCGTTGTTTTTAAGTCCCATAAACCCAATCCTCCATTCGAGGTCTGTTTAGAAATCTAAGGTCAGTGTTGGTGCCTGATGCAAAGCTTTCAGATGTTGATACGAGGCAGATAGCGGCGTCGAATGCTGCAAGACCTCCTGCTCCTGCGACATGCGCAAGTGATGGCGAGCTGGTTTGCAAAGCTGGCTTTGCGGCGTTGCGCGTATGCTCATGTGGAAGCTCGCTGCGTGTGCGCGCAACGATTGCGTCATGTCTGCTGCATCTGCAGACAGTGCGAAGTGGACTCACCCGAATCACGCAGCTGGCAGAGAGAGAGCATTCTGTCCCAGCTTGACGTCCCTCCTTACCTGAGGACCTGCGCGACGTCCTTTGTTTCCCGATGCCGTTTTCCACCAGCAAGGTGTACGCTGAATGCAGGAAGCAGCCCCTCTCGGTGGTGGTGGTGTTTTTTTGCTTGTTTTTTTCTGTTTTTTTCTTTGTTTTTTTCCGTGGCCCAAGCAAGCAAGCAAGCCTAAACCCTAAACCCTAAACCCTCAACCCTAAACCCTAAACCCTAAACCCTAAGCCCTAAACCCTAAGCCCTATGCCTTAAGCCCTAAACCCTAACCTCAAACCCTAAACCCCAACCCTAAGCCCTAAGCCCTAAACCCTAAACCCGAAACCCCAAACCCTAAATTCCCACCCAGGCCTGCTTAGGCCGTACCCACCCTATTCTACCACCCTATTCTAGGGTGCCTGGCCCCAGAACTACACCCGACAGCGATTGACACCATCGCTTGGACTTACTATGCAAGCCTAAAGAGTTGTGTTGAGCGTGAGCTGCACCTCCAGTGCAGGTGCAGTACCCCGCCTGGGGTACCCCGCCCCCCTTCTCCAGCTCTCGAGCAAAGAAACCCCCTGTTCCGGAAAAACCGAAAGTGGCTTCTGTAGGTCGCCCCTTGGGCCCCCACTCCAGAGCCCCCTGGAACCTGCCCCTTGACGGAGCGTGTTCAGGGCCAGCTTTTGGGCCGACAGACGGTAAGCGAGGTTACGACGAATCCCATGAACTGCTAGAACTACGATAATCAAAATCAAATCTGATGCCTTGAGCATGGTTGATTTTTTTGGATTGGGGTGTAGGCGTTGATTGCACACCGTCGCTTGCTCAAAACCCCCTGCTAAAGCCTCTGACCAAGCGACGTCTAATCCTAGGCAACAAGCCGGAACTCTACGACCTCCACAAGAAGCTTTATGTGCCCGAACCTTTCCCAGCCGTTCAAAGGATGGGGGTGGGAAGTGGGAATTTGGGGCGTTAGCCCGAAACCCTAAAAGGAAAAAAATTGGGTGGATGCGTGCGTAAGCAGGGGGTGGGAAAAATGAAACAACCCAACCTTTCTGGTTGTGGTGGCTCCAACTTCAATATACGCCGCCGCGACATATGGCGCCCCCTCACACCCCCTGGGTGTGTTGGGGCGCCATCTCCGCATGAAATCTACTGCCGCGGCGAGAAGCCCTAAACCCTAAACCCTAAGCCCCAAACCCCAAACCCCAAACCCCAAACCCCAAACCACCCTAAACCCTCAGCACTCTCTAACCTATGTATATTTAATGGCTAATGGCTTCCCGGTTTTCCACCAAAAATTCCCGGTTTTCCACCAACATTTCCCGGTTTTCCACCACAATTTCATGGAGGATGATCAAGGGTGGGGTGGGGTGGGGCCAGGCATGGCCATCAGGGCTGGTTTTACTCTGGGCCGCCTTTAGGGTTTAGGGCCTACTCTTGAACCCAAAATTTTAAGGTTAGAACATAAAGTAAAATATTTTAATAATGTTATGGGATCCAATGGGTGGGTGGGTCGATATTCGATACCGGGGTAAGGAGCTCTACTAGTGAAATGCTTGGATTTGAGATGCTGAACCCTAAACCTTAAACCCTAAACCCTAACTAAACCCTAAACTCTAAACCCTAAACCCTAAACCCTAAACCTAAACCTTAACCCTAAACCCTAACCTCTAAACCCTAAACCCTAACCCCTAAACCCTAAACCCTAAACCCTAAACCCTAAACCCTAAACCTTAAACCTTAAACCCTAAACCCTAAACCCTAAACCTTAAACCTTAAACCCTAAACCCTAACAAGAAGACGGAACAAATGAGGAAAAACACCGAAAAACCAAGAACAAAAATCCCGCCGCCCCTCTCTGATGCTCTTGTGATGCACCTCGCCGACCTCGCCGACACAGATCTTGTGAGGTCTCGTGCGGGCCAGCCACGCGACACCAGCACTCATGCACCCTTCCGTGCTGGTGCAGAGCATTCCTGCTGATGAAATGCTCCAAGAAAAAGGTGTAAACAGTGTGATGCCATGCGTCTCCTTTGTTTGCTCTTAGAGAGCGAGGCAACAAAGAGCAGTGCGTTTTTTGCATCTAGGGCTTTCTTTGTTGGTCTTGCATGGGCTCTTCTTTGGGTGCTAAGAGGCCCAATAAGCCAAACACGGGGGTTTAGGAAAATAAGGGACTAATTTCGGGAAACCCCCATAAGCCACAGCTGCTTCTTTGGATGCTCTTCAGGCAAAGGCACTTTGGCGGTGCGGGCCTCTGTTGGGGAAGAAGTTTCTCGTATGCTGTAAGTAGCATACTCCATTTTGAACCTATGATTTTCACCGGCCAGCTACAGGCATCAGTCAAGCTCTCGTCACTTCTCATCGGTTTTCTGCGTCGACGCCAGCGACGCAGACATGGGGAACTTCAGCAAGGCCGGGATCAGGAATGTATCCCGGACGTACAGCGGCTACAGCATTCTCAGTTGTGTTTTTTGGGCGCGCGGTCGAGTTTTTGAAGGTTCTTGAGAGTGCGGCTTTGCATTGGTCAGGATCTGTGCTGTTACAGAAAGTGTGGCGAGTTCCAAGCCGATCATGATGTCATGCCGGCTTCTAGGTTCTAGATCCCCAGGTCGAGGTATCCCGAGCCCGGCGGCCAAAGCTAAAATCATGGTGATCCGTTTTCCTCAGGCAGGATGTTTGCAGACAGCCACTGTCGGAGTTTCTTTCAGGATGGTGCGATGTTGTCGTTGGCCCTTTCCTGCATGTTAGTTGAAGGTTGTTATTAAACTAACAAAAAAGAGTACAAACAATTGAAGATATGTGAACAGATCTGGGAGGTGCTTGGACACCGCCACTCATCTCGCTAGCACAGGCAGAGGCTCTGCTTCCGAGAAGGGCGAGCGCTCGGTATCGGGCTTGCCTTTCGCATGAGAGTGTCTCGCATGCTTTGGAGTCTTGACTACCTTATGACCCTTCTTACAGAGCGGCAGTCCGCATAGTTAATTGTGGCTCTACAAGTCGTTCCGAGAGCAATCAATGTCCAAGCCGTTTTCAGTGATGTGGTTCCAGTCGCAGTCTGGCCCCAGAATTTATCGGATCAGAGATATGCGCCACGCTGCCATGTCTCCAGTCTCAGGTTTCGTCTTGTTGGCAGTCCTTCGAGCCAGCTCAGCGCAGCAGGCAGGGACACTTCAGCAGGAAGGGAATCCCACCATGTCGGTGAAGGAATGCACGAAGACAGGGGGCTGCAGCACCAGAGACAAGAAGCTGGTGCTTGCTACACGGGAAATCAATGGAACATTTTTATTTGTACAGATGGTGACACATGTGCTCGGAATTGTGCATTTGAAGGCTTGACTGCCAATGCTCAGCAGTATCAGAACACCTACGGCATCCCGGGGGGTGTGCGCCTTGGTTTCGTCACCGGCGCGAATCTTGGGTCACGGCTCTTCCTCCAATGATGACACCTATATGATGTTCAAGATGAAGAACCGGGAGTTTGCGCTCGATGTGGATTCCTCACAGGTACAGTGCGGGATGAACGGAGCGTCGACGCCTGTAAGGCCGAGTGTGTCGCGACTTCAGGTTGCCATGGGATTGGGTTCTCGAGGGGGAGGCGTGAGGTGTGGACTGGGACAGAGGGGATCCAGGCCTCATCCCTCTCGCTGGCTTCACCTGCCTGCGCTTCGGAGTTGAGGCGACGACCACAACGACAACGCTTGGTCCTGGCTGGGCCCCTGTCAACGGAGGCGGCGGCCACGCCTGCAGAGGGGGCAGCCTCGGCGACAACTCTTGTGGAGACAGCCGCGCCGAGCATTTGTGAGCTCACGACACAGTGCAAAGAGGTGTGGAGTTCTCGGGACAAAGATGTGAGGTGTGGGTCCGTCCGGAGGGTATTCAGGCCTCTAGGCCACTTCAAGGCTTCACGTGCCTGAGCTTTGACAGTCCGACTACTACCAGCACGACCACGACGACGACAACCACAACCACAACAACCATGGCTTGCGCCGGTGCCTTTTCACAGTGCGGAGGGAATAACCACAAGGGCCCCGCTTGCTGAACCTCCGGCTACACCTGTACTTTTGGGAACGAGTGGTACTCCCAGTGCAAGCCGAACGCGCAGTTGTCTCAGACCGACACGGTTCGGGCTCGAAGCAACTTGGGTCGCAGCCCATGCGGTCGAGCTCTAAGGGCTCTCTACCTTGGGGACGAAAGGAACCCTAAAGGGGTTTATGGTTCATATACCTTAATCGGAGTTATAGTAGTCAGTGTATATGACCCCAATTTTAGGCTTCATTTCGTCTCCAAGGTAAGCTGTTCCGATATGTTGACTCATTGCCTGCAGGTCATGGGGTGCCAGCAAAGTTACCTGAGGGTTTAGGGTTTAGGATTTAGGGTTTAGGGTTTCGGAGACCTCTAGGCTGAATTTGCTTCTGCATCGGGCCCTGCGCCCATGAAATTGAGGTAGTGGTACTCGGACCTTTCTTCTACAGCCCCTTTTGGGGAGCATTTTAATTCCAAAAGACATCCATCGCAATCTGCTGTGCCTTCACACGCGGCTCTCTCGCAAGTCCAGTGCTTGCCAACTCCACGAGCTTTCCCATCGAGCGTTCCGGCGAGATCCGAGATCAGCGCCCCAAGCAAGACATGCAGAAACTCCTAAATTCAGCAGAACTACATTCTTCTTGAGTCGCAAAATCAAAATCGGAGGCGAAGCTCTTTTCCTGTCTGATGAATTGCGGCGCTTTTGTGGCCGATCCTCGGTTGAAGTTCTGTGCGACGCGCAGGGCGGCAGCAGCAAAAAGTGAGTCACGCTGTCGCGCCGCGAATTCGATAGATTTTCTCAATCCATCGAAACTGGTGAATCCCTGTCGTCGGTCGACAAGAAGGGCTTCGATGCTAAAGTTTCTAGAGCATGCCCCCTGCACTGTTTGGAGAACAACCTTGAAGGTGCAATGTCAAGCCGGAGTGCCTGCGTGATCATCAGCCGAGTGCCAGGCCAGCCACCGGAAGGCGCCCCACCGAATGCGAGAAAGTGCTTGAGGCGTAGGGGCGGGCCATGGCAGCACGGTATCATGGACACATGGCAGATATTGTGCAAAGAAAGAAGAGAGAGGAACGATTGAGAATCGCATGGAGGAGGCTCTACATCATCCAAGTTTGCGAGCATTGCGGGAGCCCGAGTTGAGTCGTCGCTAAGTGAAATTCGGTGAGGTGAAGGACGTGAAGTAGTACCTTCTTGCCATCCACGTGGTGTGTGATGTGAAGATGAGCCTGACCGCTACCAGGCCCCAAAGACTCGAGAAGGACCTGCGAGGTCGGCCGGGAAGAATCGGGAAAGAGAGAGGGCGCTGTTCGTTACGTTCTCCTTGGAAGTCACCACTTCCAGCCCAGGAGTCCAAGGCTCCTGGAAAAAGCGGGATCCCTCCCGGCTCCACACGGTCTTGGTGCCAGGCCGTGAAATAGAATATGATATTTACTATTGTATGTATGACATATCATCGTTTGTTTGTCTTGCACAAAAAGTACATAAAGATATATGCTGTCATATTGGTTGTTGTGTGTTTTTGTTTGTCACTTCAGAAAAGTCCCTCGCTGTCTCCGTTTCTTGTCCTGGGCCTCCGCTCTGAGGTGCTGAGGTGTGTGTGTGTGTGGCTGGTCCAATTTAGCAGATCGTCCTTGGGGTGCATGGCAGGAGTGGTATGGGGCTCTGGGCCAAAGTGATTTTTCAACCCCAACCACGCGCTGCACTCAGCACTGCGACGAGTATCCAGCTTGCAACAAGCGACTTACGGACTCTTCTGGCTGGTCCTTGAGCAGGGTCATGAACTTGAATCTGTGTGCCCACCTTGACACCTTCCTTGGCAACCCGCGTCACGCGTCCGAGGCACCATGGGCGACGGACCGGCCGCGGCGAATGCACAGAAACATGTGCTCCAGCCCCTTGATGTCACAAGTCTCTACGACGGCAAAGTTTGTACATCTCCGCAGCTGACGCAGTACATGCACGAAGGCAACTCTCACGCAAATTGCATGCAGGGACAGCATGTTGAATTTGCTGTTCGCCGCACGTTTCGTAGAAGACTGATGAACTATCAGCGGGCTTAAAGCCAAGCCGGGAGCCGAGCCGGGAATCACGACCACGACAGTCAAAACATTGATCTCTAACAGCAGAGCGGTGCAAAGCACTTCATCGCCACACTGGGCTTCCATCATCCTTCACCCGGCCTTTCCTTCGCCATTGAAACTCCAGTTAACATGTATCAGCTGGACAAACATGTTGAAATTCAAGCAGTCGCCATGCCGCCCTCTTCCCCCTCACGTCGGCGAAGGCTCGACCTGTGCTGCTTGAGGGCCCTATGCAGACAAAAGGTTACGCCGTATGGTTCAAAAACGGGGGCTCTAGGGTCGACAGAACCAATGCTTGTCTGCAATGGATTTTGGTGTGTTGGCATATTCTGTCTCGTGATGTTATGGCATGCAGAAAATAGCTCTTCTCGCGACTGTCTCAGGGTCCTCTTCTCATTGATGGCAAACGTTGGCTCTCGTTTGCCCCCTTGCAGGCCCTCAGACTCGTGACTCAGGAGGCACAAGAGCCGAGAGTTTGCCACAGGAAAGGGCTGAACTTTTCATCCTTTAGGAATTGTTTTTGCGGACTCGAGAGGCTTCCCCTTATTCTTGTTACTGCAGCGAGTGTTGCTTTGGTGATTTCCTGTGTCGCAGTTTCTGGAGGTCCCGCTCCATGCGGCGCCTGCCCGCGAATCTCACAGAAACTTGTGAACTCAAGGAGCCTGAAGAGCGCAGGCGTGAGCAATCAGATCTCGTACTTTGAAGAACGTGTCAGGATGGGGGGCAAGCTTTTGTCTCCACCCCATCTTTGTCTCCTAACTCATCGCCTGGACTTGGAGGCTCTACATGTGTGTTTGCTATGGCTTGGCCTGGTTTCATGTCACTCTCCTCACCCGCCACAACGCAAATCATGTCGGCAGGGTGAACCTGGCAAGCGCGACGCTCCGAGTAGCAGGCGGCAGGGGGGGGGGGGTGTGAGGGTGGTGAGGGCGCAGGCCAGATTCTCATACGCAATGTTAAAGAGATCATGTATTCCCACCTATGCTGCATGCCATGTATGGCAGCTGTAGGCTGGGACACAGGCGCAGACTATGGGGTCATGGGAGGAGTTTCTATGCTTTGCGCGGCGCTTCTTGCAGGTGGCTCTGACTGCAGCGCCGCGTCTTCTAGGTCAGACATGCAAGTGACGTTGGAGTGCGTGAGTGCATAAATTTGCGGGACGGCAGCTCTCGACCGCTTCATCCTTGATCGGCTTGGCAAGGCTGGCAAGGACTTCGAAATTGCTTCAGCCACGGGAGCAATCCGTTCTAAGGTCAGGTTGTTGCATGGCGGAAGCTTTGGTGCATTCAGGACTTCTCCTATGACCGCCGCGCGGGCCAAAATGGAAGAGTTTGGCTTCTGGCACGCACTGCCAGAGAGACAGTGCTTCTACTGCAGGCCATGTGGGACTGGGGCTGAGACTTTGCGGTGGCTTCGCGGCATTTTCAGAGTTTAGGGTTTAGGTTGCTTCAGGTCCTAAAGAGGGAGTTTCGGTATGACAACGATCCAAACCGGGGCCCGAACTGGCAAATGGGTCGGGCTCATTGTTTCCAGGATTGTTGCGTTTCGTTTGGCGGGGTTTGCGTTTCCTGTAAACATAAACGTTTTCGTAAACGTGTTCATGCGTTTCGATCCGTTTCGTGTTGCGTTTCAGGAAGGCGTGGGCCTCTCTCGGGCCCAAGCCCTGAACCCCACGCCAGAAACTTGAATTGCGAGGTGCACGACCTAAGCTGAACTAGCGGCCTTGGGCGAAATAAGAAATGGGAGGTGCGACCTGTGAAGTATTAAAAACTTATGCAGGCGAAGGTGTGACTGTTGCTGGGGAGTTGGTGGCGAAACTAACTTTTGAAGCCTTTAAGCCTCCTTACGCCTGGCTTACAAGCTTTACGCAGCAAACGGCCAAGCGCTTCTTTTCCACGATTCGATGCGTTTGTCTTTTCGCCGGCCATACGTTTCGATTCGTTTCGCTCGTGCGTGTTTGCGGTTCTTTGCGTTTCGTTTCCATACGTTTCGTTGCCGTTTCCCGTTTCGTTTCGCGGCTTTCCTGCTCTCTATTTTTCTGTTCATTGCAATTGAGCATCCTGAAGCCTATCTGCCTCGAAGGCGGGCCTGGAGAAGGCATGGCAGGCGCCGGACCCAGCATTTGCCATGGCCAGGAATATATGTATATTTATATACCCATGTATATATAGATATATATGTACATATGCCCCCCCCGCCCCCCATTTACCTATGCGTCTTTGGTGTTTTCGGAACTGCCTGTGATCATGAGGAATCTGAGACCCCTTCTTTTTTCCGAAGAAGCGGGAAATCAATAAAGGTTCCTGTTTTGTATTGCCCCCCCAGCGACCTACCCTTTTTCGGTCTTTTTAACAAAAAGAACAACGAAGGCCCAAAAGTCGCGTAGTAAATCACCGGGTAATGAAGGACAGTTATTGGCCTCACAGACCCCGATAAGCCAGTATTGGATGCATTTAATCTGAAGCGTACAAAGCTGGTTTTAGATGTTTAAATCTGTGGTTTTTCTATGCAAATTGTGCGTTTAGCGGGCAAATAATGTTTTGTTGAGCAACTAATGTATTTATACAGCTGTGTTTGTACTAAGCAAAGTATTAATCAAATACTATCTGAAAAGTCCACTGAAATACCTTATGTTTAGATATTCATGAAACATTTTTATTTTTGAAACAATCATTCTATGCGAATTGAACTACTAGAGTAATTATTAAAGCAAGTACCTAGATTTGACTCAAGTGAATACTATTTAAAGGACCATACTCGACCAAAAGACGAAATAGACACTAGCGGAAATGGAAGATGTTCTACTTACATAGCAATGAAGCAAAGATTTCTGAAGCATTCAATAAAGACCACTTAATATACGAGTCTGAAAAGCACAATTTGCATAAGCAAGCTGAAAAATTCCACAGCAGAAGGAACTTTGCATAAGAACAACCTTCGAAAACAAACCTTTCGTAAGTCACAAATCATGCCTTTCCTGCGTTTCCCAGGTACCAGACGAGAGCAAAAGAAGAACGTAGCAGCTTACGACTAGTGGACGCCTGAACAAGCTAGGCACTGCCAGACCAGGAGTCTGAGATCGGGGCGCCGGGCTCAGCAGTTTCTCAGAGTGGAGCTCAAGCTCCGAGTTTCGTCAGCAATTCGCGCTTGACATGGTGGGGTGCGTGCGTAGGAGTGTGGGCATCACTTGTCGCAACCATGCCTTGCTTTAGGATGGAAAGCTCCCAGGTGCAGCAGGTGCAGGGGCACTTCCGCTCGCCATCAAGTGCCAGGAGCTTGTTACAAGCTTTGTTTCGGCCTCGCAGAGTTGAGGGTTGCGGCTGCGGCTCTTCGATGTTGGAATGCGCCTAGCAAGCAAGCACCTGGTCCACTGGGTATCAATCCAACATGATGTTTTGTGGAAGGCCATGGTTTTGCAAGAAGCATTGGCCCGAACCGAACCACAAGTGATTGATTTTTTCGTGCCATGGCCCACTTGGCAGATGAAGAAGGGGATGAATTGAGGCCTCCTGATCGTGTCAGGGAGGTGCCAGTGGGCTTTGGGGAACATGGTTGGTCATGGTTGCTGTCTAGTTTGACCGTGTTTCTCATGGTGTGCTCTTGCTTGGTTCAACTCGGAAAAAATACGAATCAGAGACCAGAGGGTCGAATCAGAGACCAGACACACCGAATCAGAGACCAGGCTCAGAATCAGAGACCAGACAGGCAGAAACCGAGACCAGATTCCAGAATCACCCCCCTCAGGATCAGAGACCAGACAGGGCCGAATCAGAGACCAGACAGGGCCGAATCAGAGACCGGACAGGGCCGAATCAGAGACCAGACAGGGTGGCATCCGAAACCAGAGGGACGTCAAGGGAAACCAAAGGGTTGATTGTTGTAACCACTGGGTTGACCGTTTGGAAGCGATTCGTTTGAAGCAGGCTTGCCCGAGTAAAAAATACAAGCGGGGGGGTTGGGGGGGGCGCAGCCCCCCCCATTTGCCAAGACAATGCCCGCATCGTGGGTTTGGAAGCGATTCCCCCCCCATTTGCCAAGACAATGCCCGCATCGTGGGTTTGGAAGGGATTCGTTTGAAGCAGGCCTGCCCGAGGAAAAAGAAAAGCGGGGGGGTTGGGGGGGGCGCAGCCCCCCCCATTTGCCAACACAATGCCCGCGTCATGGGTTTGCAAGGGATTCGTTTGAAGCAGGCTTGCCCGAGTAAAAAATGGGTTTGGAACGGATTCTTTTGAAGCAGGCCTGCCCGAGTAAAAAAACGGTACAAAATAAAAGCGGGGGGGGGTTGCGGGGGGGGGGTTGCCCGAGTAAAAAATCAAAGCGGGGGGGTTGGGGGGGGGGGCGCAGCAACGCCCGCATCATGGGTTTGGAAGCGTTTCGTTTGAAGCAGGCTTGCCCGAGTCAAAAAAAGTGGTAACAAAATAAAAGCGGGGTGGTTGGGGGGGGCGGGGGGGCGCACCCCATTTGCAAACACAATGCTCGCATCATGGGTTTGGCAGGGATGCCTTTCAAGCAGGCTTGCCCGAGTAAACAAGACAAGCGGGGTGGGGGGGTTGGGGGGGGGGCGCAGCGGGTTTCTAAGGGATTCGTTTGAAGCAGGCTTGCCCGAGTATAAAATAAAAGCGGGGGGGTTGGGGTGCGCCCCCCCAGTTGCAAACACAATGCCCGCATCATGGTCACGGGTTTGGAAGGGCTTCGTTTGAAGCAGGCTTGCCCGACGAAAAGAAGGGCTTCGTTTCAAGCAGGCCTGCCCGAGTAAAAAAATAGAAGCGGGCTGGGTTGGTCGGGTCGATCGGCTTGGTCGGGGTGGTCGGGTGGGTCGGGTCCGGTTGCATTGGTCTGGTCGGATCGGTCGGCTTGGTCGGCTCGGTCGTGTCGCAGTTCAGGTTGGGTCGGTCGGGTCGGTCGGGTGGGCCCACGGTGCTGCTCGGGGCCGGTCGGGTGGGTCGGGTCGGGTTATAACTGCGCCACAGGACCGTGCCGACGGCATTCTGCCACGAGGGTAGGTCATGGTGGCTGAATCGCTTCGACCAGTGCTGAGGGTTCCTGGCTGCTTGGGTTGGGTTGGTCGGGTTGGTTGGGTTGGTCGGGTCGATCGGATTGGTCGGGGAAGGGTCCGGTTGGGTTGGTCGGGTTGGTCGGGTGGGTTGCTTGGTCAGGGGTCGGGTTATTACTACGCCACAGGACTGTGCCGACAGCATTCTGCCACGAGGGTACGTCATGGTGGCTCGGGTCCGGTTGGTTGGTCGGGTTGGTCGGGTGGGTTGCTTGGGTCGGGTTATTTCTACGCCACAGGACCGTGCCGACAGCATTCTGCCACGAGGGTACGTCATGGTGGCTGAATGCATTGGTCCACTCTTGCGGTCGCTTCGCCCACTGCTGAGGGTCCCTGGCTGCTTGGGTTGGGTTGGTCGGGTTGGTTGGGTTGGTCGGGTCGATCGGCTTGGTCGGAGCTGTCGGGCGGGTTGGGTCCGGTTGGGTTGGTCTGGTCGGGTGGGTTGCTTGGTCAGGGGTCAGGGGCCGGTGGGGTGGGTCGGGTCGGCTGGAGACGGTCGGGTGCCTGATTCGGCGAGCCTGGTCTCTGAATCCCGTGTCTGGTCTCGGAATCTGGGAGCCTGGTCTCTGAATCCCATGTCTGGTCTCGGAATCTGGCTGCCTGGTCTCTGAGTCTGGTGCCCTGCTGGTCTCGGATTCCCCTCTCCTGGTCTCTGATTCGGCCCTTCCGGTCTCGGAATCTGTTCCCCTGATTCGGCCTTCACCCGGTTCAACTCCCCCGTAAAGTCTAAACGAGTGAGACATTCGCTCTGCACGTTATACCTTTGCACGACGCATGCCATTGTGTAAGACAGGTGGCAGATGAAGATGCGCTGACGCCGCCAAAAACCGTCGCTTCGTTTGGAGGTTCACAGCCCTCACGGCGTCGACTGGTCAAGTCGGAGGAAGCCACAGCCGGCCGCCAGGAGGACATCGACCCCAAGCAGGAGGTGACAACAGAGCATGGAGAGCCCACAAAGAAGAAGCACCGGGGCCCAAAGCATCGAATTGCTTCAGATGAGCAGGTGGAAGCAGCGACAGGCCTCGACTTGGAATCCATGCCGCCTCGGCAGGCAGTGTACGTATTCCTTTGTCGCTACTGTGGCCGTAGTCTAAAGAAGGGAGAGGATTTCCAGTACATTGTGACACCAACAGAAAAGGGCTTCCTTGCATACATATCGGCCCCAGAGTGGAGCAATGGACTTTACTATGGCGAAATCTGTGAGACTGAGAAGGAAGCCGAAGTGAGTGCTGCAAGGAATTTCATCTCGTGTCCACAGGTCATCAGGGCCGCCAAGCACCTTCCACCACCAATTGGAATCCTGGTGGCCCACGAGTTCACCAAGAAGCGCCAGGGAGACCAGAGGAACCTTCCTTGTAAGCGCAAAAAGGTGACCTACGCTCCGATCAAGGAGGCTGCTATGAACTCATATAATGGATACCAGGGACGCTGCAACATGCAGATGTGGGCATAAGCAAAAGGCTGCCTGTTTTTGCCGTGCACGCGCTCAAAAGCTTATCCTTGTGAAGTCAGTGGTTCGTAGCATCGCCAGATCCTTGTTGCGATGCCGAGGCCAGCAAGTTATCCTCAAGTTGGGCACCTGCAGGCACCTGAGCAGCAGGTGATGTGTAAAGACTGCTGGTTGTTCAAGTCCGCTCATTGTGGCCCCGGAATTGCAGGTTTAAGGGTCTTGGGGGGGGGGGGGGGGAGGGTACTACCGTCCATTCATATGGCGACCTTGCCCAAAAAAAGGTTATTTGCAGTGCTGTGCGCAGTGTTGTCGCCCGAAAAAAGCGTTCAAATGCAAGAAGCAAGCGCTTAGAAACTCGCACTTCGCAAGTGTCGAAAACATCGCTGTGCGCAGTTTTTTTCGCGCACGCGATCGCGAAAGCCTGGTGGCAGTGGTGATTTTGAGGATAGACAAGATCAGTGCGCAAAACACGCGGGGCCCCAGCGAGCGGCGTTACCTTGTTTAGGCATGTGGCTTCTTCGAATGTCCGGCATATACAAAGAGAGCAGGCAGGCAGTGGGAAGCACATGTAGCGGGAGGAGTTCCCGCGCTGGCAAACGCGACTCACCCATGAAGTTGCTTGCATGCTTTTTGTTACAAGTGCACATTTGAGCTCTCGCTTGCCTTCTGTCATTTAATCTTCCTGAGCTCGTGAGACTGCATGTATGCATATTTGTACACATATACATATACATATACATATGCATACACATTTACATATACATAGACATATACATAGACACATACATAGACATATACATAGACACATACATAGACATATACATATACGGAAATACGTACACGCACTTTATTTATTTAAAGCTCGGATCCCACCAGGGGGGATTAGTAGGCGTGCCTTGTGTGCCCAGTTCTAACATGGAGTGTTTCTGCTGGAGTACGTTTCTCAGTTTTGCAGAAGGGTAAGCGCGGCATGAAATTGCATATCTGCACGGGGACTCGCACTCGGTTTCAGTTTTGCACCTGAGGCGTGCCCAAGGTGGGCAGGCTTTAAATCACTTGCAAGTGCATCTTATTGCCTTCTTGTGGTTGATACCATTACAAGTGCAACTTGAACGCCGATGTTGCGATGCCCATCGCCCAAAGTCCCACGCATCTCATCCCTTGCATCGTTTGGATGGTTGCCCCGGCTTGATCTGCGTGCAATTTGGCATCCTGTCGTCAGGTGCCGACATCGATTCAGCCTCCCGGAAGTGGAGTTTGGGCTGCTAGTCCTGCAAAAACCGGTGCTGAGGGCGCAGGGTTTAAGTTTATGAATGTTAGTCGTGTTGGTTGCAACTGGGGTGTGTTGGGCACACGCGTGTTGAGAACAGGGGGGGTGCGTGTTGGGGAGTTGGGCGTGTTGGTGTGCGGGTTCATGACACGTCGGATGTGTTCGAATCGTAAAGTCTCCCCTTTGGAAGCTGAAAAGAAGATTGTAGACCCAACTCCAAGTCATCGAAAGAGGCCTTAAAACAAACCTGCAGAGTAGGGTCATCACTCCGAAACCCAATTCTGGGGGGCAGCCTTTCCAACTCAACCCCCGGGCGTGCTGTACACATGGGCCCTGTTCCCGACTCACCCCCCCTGCGTTCCTGACTCACGCCTGCCCAGTTCCCAACAAGCGCCCCCCCTGTTCCCAACACACCCTCGGCCCGCTCCCGACACTTGTAGCCGACTCAACCTTCATCCTTAAGTTTATGGTCGGGTTTCCCAGGTAGTAGAGACATCAGAGACCCGCTATTTTTGGTAAAGCGATTCCTTTGCCATGGCTGCTGCCGGAGGGCTTCACACTGTTCTTCTCCGGAGTGATGGCAACGCCGTGGCTTGGGGGATGGTGAATGCTGGCCAATGCGTGATTCCCCCTTTGGATGAAGGACTCTCCTACACTCAGGTTGCCGCAGGCTGGCTCCACACCGTTCTTCTCCGAAGTGATGGTTGCGCTGTTGCTTGCGGAAGAAATACCGGTCAACAATGCGACATTCCTGCGCTGGATGAGGGAATGTCATACACCGAGGTTTCTGCTGGTTATGATCAGACAGTGCTTCTTCGAAACGACGGCAATGCTGTGCTCTGTGGATCACATGGACGTAGCAAGATTTTACCATTGGATGAGGGGTTTTGGTACACCCAGGTGGATGCAGGCGACAGTCATATTGTGCTTCTTCGAAATGACGGCCGTGCTGTTGCACTTAGCAGTCATAACCACGATGGTGAATGCGACATTCCCCCGTTGGAAGAGGGTGTGTCGTACACCCAGGTTTCTGGCGGCAAGAATCACACAGTTCTGCTTCGAAGCGATGGCCGCGCCGTTGCTTGTGGAAGCAATGATCGTGGACAATGCGACATTCCCCCTCTGGATGAGGGAGTGTCATATACCCAAGTCTCTGCAGGAGATCACACCGTGCTTCTTCGAAGTGATGGGAGAGCAGTAGCTTGCGGACGCAATGAATCCAAGCAGTGCAACATCCCAGCGTTGAAGGATGACGGAGTCGTCTACTCGCAAGTTTCCGCAGGGGTGACTCATACCGTGCTTGTCCGAAGTGATGGCGTTGCTGTAGCTTGTGGGAAGAACCACTACAAACAATGCAGGATTCCTGCTCCAGAGCCGGGGATCTGGTATGTTTGGGACCATACTGTACGAAACACAGACAGCTTTGTTTGTCAGTTAGATTTTGTCGATAAGGATGGCGCAGTGGCGCTGATATGTTCTGGCCTGGCCGGAAACGAAGTCTTGCGCTGGGAAGCACTTGGGTCTGAGCTAGCCTTGAATGCTCAAGGGTACATTGCACGTGAGTTGAGAGTCAAGCTCCAGAGTCTCCGAGTCGTCTTGCCTGACGGAGAGCTGTTGGCCTCGGTTTGCCGTGCGAATCCGCTGGTCACAGTTGGCGATTTGAGTGACACCTACAAGTCTTAGAGCAAGTTGGCCATCGAGAGGGGGTGAGCTCAACATTGTTGCGCAGCACTGACCAAAGAGCGCGAGCCGTGCTCTCACGTCGAAGCATTGGGGTCCTTCTTGGTGCAGTTTCAACAATTACGCGTCGGAGCTCGCTGTTGTTTTTTCTGTTTCAGCTGCTACCAGGGTGCTGTTACTTGCGCTGATAAACTTCCCTGCGAGAATTGCACGATGAAACCCTACATCAAGCCGACTGCTTGCAATGGCAAACCCCTGTGTCCCGAGCTGAGGAAGAGCCAGAAGGAGAAGGTTGAGCCGGCGCTGAATTCCCAGGAGGTCCCCAGCAGATTTAAGGTCAATGGGCTTAGGGTTCTCACCTCCAGGTCAGGTCATGTGAACAGTTTGCCCAGTTTTCCCCAAACAGTGTGCACACACTCTAATGGTCAAAGTCCTTTCGTGGAGGGTAAAATGAAGGAGGTTTACAGTTTTTGGGTGCGGAACCCTAACCCTAAACCCTAAACCCTAAACCCTAAACTCTAAACCCTAAACCCTAAACCCTAAACCCTAAACCCTAAACCCTAAACCCTAAACCCTAAACCCTAAACCCCCAGTTCCTGAAATATTTCGCATCCACGGAGACCCAGCCTGTAATACATGAGCCGCTGAAAGTTGGCACCTCATGCTTCGGGTTTCGGGTTTAGGGTGTAGGGTTCAGGGTTTAGGGTTTAGGGTTTAGGGTTCAATGGAGCAGAAGAGAGGAGTCAGGGTGGTGCGCGAAACTTTTGAACACTGCAGCAAGGTGCTTGGTAGCCTCGCCGTGCAAGGACCTCCAGCTCGACTCAACCCCAAAGCGCAAACCCTTGGAACAGCTTTTTGAAAGCTAGAGTCAGCTTACACTTTCACGGGGGTAGCCACGCGAGCTGTCCCTGGCAGGCTTGACGTTTCGAATGCCTGAGAGAGAGGGAGAGAGAGAGAGAGAGAGAGAGTCAGCTAGAGCCCGCCGAAAGCATTCCCAGCCGCCTTTGCAGATGTAAAGCGTTGTAAAGCCTACCAGGTCCTGTACTTCTCATAAGCCCCGATTTACACCCCAGAGTTTGCCACGGCCCTGTGTTACAAAGCCGAAGCAAAATCGTCTAGAAGCTTGTGGCTGTCAGATTCTTCTCAACCGCCTCGTTCCACCTTCACTGGCGCCGGGAGATGCCGGGAGGTGCGGAGAGGGCGGGGTGTTTCATCCGGATAATGTGTGAGCCGAAGTCCTTTCACGCTCCCCTTTTGCCACTGCTACCGCAGCATTTCCAGAGTTGAGGCTGCGCGTGCTTCCGCCATGCAGCCTCAGAAGAGGCAACGTGTGAGCCTTGCTCAAGCCATCCGCTGCTTTGGACGCCCATTGCCTCCATCGCAGGAGGGCTCGGATGCGGGGCAGGTTCCGGAAGAAGAGACGGGAACCAGGGCGGGTATTGCTGCGGAACAGGTCGCCAAAGAGGAGCTGCAAACGGAAGAGGAAGGCGTGGATGCACAGGAGGCTCTTCAGGACGAGCTGGCATGGAATGAGGAAGCAAAAGAGGAGCTGCAACCTGAAGAAGAGGCTCCTAAGGATGAGCTGGCATGGAAGGAGGAGGAGGTGGACGAGCTTTATTCACAGAGCGCCGCTGCTGGATCATGGGCCCCTGCATCGCAAGATTTATCACAGCAGTCCTGGCAACCGTTCTCGCAGGATTCGCAGGACCCGCACGCCACAGAGCATGGCATGCAACCCATGCCAGAGGATATTGGCGGAGAACAAGTTGCTGGAACATCGGCCCCATCGTCATGGCAACCGATCTCGGACTCGGAGGCCAGGAAGCATGGCTTGGAAATGGCGGATGCACAAAGCTTGCAGGAGCCCCGCAGAGGCTTCGCAGATCTCAGGGAGGAAGAGAAGGAAAAACTTCTAACTGTGTCTGAGAGCCTCACGAAAGAGATAGGCATGAAGGCTTTTTACACTTTCGACGCCCGGACATCCCGGGAAGATCTGAAGAAGTTGGTGCACACCTTTTTCTCGAGGTACAGGCAGACTGAAACGGAGGACCATTATTACGAGACGGAGAGGTTCTTTCAGGACAACCAAGTGTGGTTTGTTTCGACGCTGATCACGCCTTGCTTGTACCAGGGCAGTTTTCGGGGCCAGCCGAGGCCACAACGCCACATGGCAGAACTATCTGCTTGTCAGAAGTTCCTGGAAGATCCGGAAGCTCGAGAGCTTGCCAGCAAGCTTCCGCCACCTTCCAGAATACTGCGAAGAGAAATCTTGGCAAAATTCAGCAAAGATTGGAAGGAGGATATGCTTCAGCGGGGCATCAGTCCCAAGCTTGTTCAGCAAGAAGCTGTCCAAGAACTGTCACACAAACTTAGGTCTTTGGGCTGTAGGCTGGCATTATGGGACGGTCATGCCTGAAGCGCCGTGCTTCCGAGATTTCACCTTTCCGTGCTTGGTCTTCACCCAGCGGAAAACAGTCTCTTTTTCTGACAGGCTTCCTTGATGCCCTTGCTTTTGTGAATTGGTCTGCGCGGGAGGGAGAGTTCGCCCAAGCCCTCACAGGCATGGCCTCGGGCGCGAAGGACATCATCCGGGGCAAGGACGCCCGCAACGTTGGTACTAGCTTCATGGACTGTTCCAACGTGTTCAAGAGCTCTGATTGACAGGCACATTCCATGCTTTCCAAGTTTCAAAGGCTGGGTGAGCGGTTGCAGGGCGCAGCACACTGAGCCGATGCAAGGAGCACAGCCCCTGTCCTGATGCAGGCTTTGGGCACAATGGAGAAGGGCGTCCTGCTCGGCACCCAGTGCCAGCTCAAAGGCTTCTGGCTTGGCGCCGGAACGTCAGGGATTCAAGTCATGGGGCTTCTGGTCCACTCAGGGGGCTCTCCTCGCGGGCTCTTCTCAAGGAGTGCTTTTGGTGGTTGAAGTTTTGGGATTTGGACATGGGGTTCAGGGTCTGTGGCTCGTTGCTAAGGGTTTAGGGGCTAGCCGTAATCTTGTACAAGATCCAGGTAGGAAGGTTAGGTAGGATGATCAGCTCGTTTTGGGTCGGTTGGGCACTGCGCGTCCTCCCGCTCCTCCCAGTAAATTTCCTGTGACGTGATCTTGTCATGTCAGTTGATGTTGATGATCTGGAGGAATATTGAAGCAACCTCGAGTGAGTCAGAGCTCCCTAGTTTGCGGACAAAGGCCGCAGACTGTTGCTGCAGTTCTCTGGATCCGACCTGCTTTCGCTTGAGGTCGCCCGTCGCCAGCGAGATTGTCTTGGAGTCAGTCGCGTCAGGCCAGGACAATCATGCCAGCAGTTCTTGCTGGACGTCCCACAGTTCCACCGCGGTTTCGTGCGACTGTGACAAGTCGCAAAACATGTGGTCAAGCAGCTTTGCAAGCGAAGCTTTTTCCGGGAGTCGAAGGCCCGGCACGGGCTCGACAGTGCCACCAAGTCCCAGCTAAATGGCCGCAGAGGCGGGGAATGCACGCAGACTCATGCTTGTCGAGAGAACAGCAACCTCATGCTTGTCGAGAGAACAGCAACCTAAAAACAAAACATACGCTGTCCAACTTGGATTAAAGGGGCTTAACAACTTGATCCGAACCTTCAAGACAGGAATAAGCGTACTGCAGGTGCAAGAGGACATCTTCTACCCATCCTGCACAAAACCGAGGCAAGGACGAGCAGAAACAGACTGTCAAAGGCCCATTTGCAAGGGAATGATATTGCAAATGTTTGGGCTCCTGCATGAGGGCAAAACCCTGAAACGCTCAAACCCTAAATCTAAACCCGAAACCACAGGATGCTAGGCAGGTGGCAAAAACCCTAAACCTCAAACCCTAAACCCTAAACAGGCTCTGAAGTGACTTGTACACAGCATTCCCTCTTCAGTTGCCCCGTGGAGCATGGCTAGACGGGTGGCAAAAAAACCCAACCCCTGCTCTTGCAGCACAAACCTCAAGGACCATACGGCCTCTGCCAAAGGTGTCGGAAGACCCCCGAAACTCACCACGCTAAGCGAAGCTGGCTCAGGGGATTGGGGTTTAGGGGTTTGCGGTTTAGGGTTTAGGGGTCAGCCATAAAGTTACTGGCTTGTCGTAGGGAAGTTGGACGTCAGGTGCGCTATCAGTGTTTATGCATGTTGTAGGAAACCTAGGCTTTTGGTTCCCTGTCTCCCTACCAAGAACTCTAAGACTCCCAGCCCCCACAGTGGACCAGAAGCCCCATGACTTGACGCTCCGGCGCCAAGCCAGAAGCCTTTGAACTGGTACTGGGTGCCGAGCAGGACGCCCTTCTCCAATGTGCCCAAAGCCTGCATCAGGACAGGGACTGTGCTCCTTGCATCGGCTCAGTGTGCTGCGCCCTGCAACCGTAAATCGCGCAAAGGCCGGCCCCGAGTATGAAGGTGGTGGATGGTCGTCGTCCTCGGCCTCCTGACAGTCTTACTTGCTCTTTGACCGGATGATGGTTTAGGATTCAAAGGTATATAGGGGCGCTCTACGCTCTCAAGGGCGCATGAGCTGCTTCAAACCCTCCTGAAGGCTTCAACGGGCCTTCTGCGGTAGAGCGACAGCAACAGCAACAGCAACAGCAACAGACACAAACACAGACACAGACACAGACACAGACACAGACACAGACGACCAACAACAAACAACCAACAACCAACAACCAACAACCAACAACCAACAACCAACAACAAGCAACAAGCAACAAGCAACAACCAACAGCCAACAGCCAACAGCAGCCAACAGCCAACAACCAACAACCAACAACCAACAAAAAACAACCAACAACCAACAACCAACAACCAACAACAAACAACAAACAACAGACAACAGACAACAGACAACAAACAACAAACAACAAGCAACAAGCAACAAGCAACAAACAACAAGCAACAAGCAACAAGCAACAAGCAACAAGCAACAAACAACCACGACCACGACCACGACCATGACCACCACAACAACAACTAATAACCCCACCCACTCCCCCACACACACCCACAGCCACAGCCCCAGCCCCAGCCGCACCCGCACCCGCACCCCACACCCACACCCACACCCACACCCACACCCACACCCACACCCACACCCACACCCACACCCACACCCACACCCACACCCACACCCACACCCACACCCACACCCACACCCACACCCACCCACACCCACACCCACACACTTACACTTACGCTTACACGTACACTTACATGCACTTACACTTACACTTACACTTGCCTTGACAGGTATGGCTGATCTCGTGTTGTATGGTATGCCGTAAGGGCGTGACCCCTTGCACCTATAAAACACACAGACAAAGCCCTCAAAAGTGTGCTTGTATGTGCATAAGGTGTGGCTTACATGTCGTGTGCACGTATGTAAGAACTTGGACGCTGTTTTGCTCACCAAGGTCAATTGCGTCTGGCCGCTCTTGATGGACGTCCCAACACATGTGCAGCTGCATCTGGAATGAAAAGCCGCAAACCCTGCTGAGCCTGCTTTGCATCAGCATGTCCCCGATCTGCTTGTAACTGATGGCGGAAGTACGGAAGGGGGATTGCACGCTTTGAGATGATCTCCCGTGCGCTGCCATCCCTGCTTGCAATATGCACTGGACAAAGAGGGTTAGGGCTCGTGGGTTTGGTAGGGCTTAGGGCCGGTGGAAGGGGCGATCCAGCAGGCCTGCGAGGCACAGGTCTTGGCATGTACAACTGCCGCTGGCGCCATGTCTACTACCCAGCTGTCACGGTCACTCAGGTTCACGAAGCTGTGCGCAGAAGCGGCCTGGCATGCGACCGATAAATGCTAAATACCGAGCTCCCCCCCATTTGTGACACAACTTTCTTCATGCGACCCCGCCGCAGCCGGAGCATCTTAAATTTGTCGGGCCGTTCAAGATTTCGACACGGTGGCAATCTAAAACTTTTCCTTCAAAACTCAAAACATGAGTCTCGAGGGAAGCTGGTTCCGCAGCACTTGAGGTCTTGCTGATCTCGCTCAGGAACCGCCCGGCACACGTGGACATCCTCTCTGTCACCTGCCCTCCTTCCCATGACAGGTTGATGCTTGAAAGAAACTGCTCTTTGTTTTTTCGCAGGCCTCGTGTGCAGTGTGCGTCCGGAGAAGGTGGCAAAGACAAAACTCTGCGAGTTAAACAGCTGCAGACTCAGCACGCGCAGGGGCATCCCAATTCGGAAGCAGGATTGCTAAAGGTAGATGCTCCCGGGGCTAGTCGCCAAGGTGGGGAGGGGGGGGTGAAAAGGGGCTCCTCAGGGCTGCCCTCTCTTGTGTGGTGGAACATGCGCTTCACACAAAGAAACCACGAAGTCACTGGCCACATTTTGAAGACACCACCTCAACCACCTTGTTCTCCTTTACCCTAACTGTCGCCGATAGTTGCTGGCATGCATGGGAGAATTTGCTTTCGGCAAATCCAAGCAGTCAGCGAAGTGTGCTCCAGCTAGTGCTGCAAGTTAAATGTTTGGCCAGCTACATGTTTCATGACAGTGATTCAGGAAGGAGGCTTCCAGGAACCTCAGCACATTTGCGACATTTTGTGTTTCGAATTTTTGTTGTCTATTGAAATTCTCATTTTGCATTTCCGAGCTTGTCTGTTGGGTGCTAATTTCCGTTTTCTGACCGCAGCCATTGAGTGCCAAATTTCCGTTGTTGGGCACATCGATTGAGTGCAGAACCCCCAGAACCCTATGACCCTCGCCCTAAGCTGAGAAACCGCGAAATCGTCCTCACCTCCCCACGTCCTGACCCTCAACCCCTAAACCTTATTAACCCAGGACCCTCATCTTAACCCCCTAAACCGCGACCCTAAACCCTGAGACGCGCATTCCACTTGCTGAGGCTTATCTTGTGGGGTTTTCGGTGCCATATTGACCACACTTGCCAGCATCTCCAGCAGCCCAGCATAGCCCAGCTGGACTGCGCCGAAGAAGCTGCCATGGAAGCCGCGCAGTGCTGAGCGGGTTTGCTTTAGGGTTTAGGGTTCAGATCCCGTTCCAAGGCTAAGATTCAGCTGAGATGGCGTTTTTCGCAGAACTATCCGATTCACTCGCCGGCCCAGGTTTGCTCTTTTCATGGCTGCGAGCAGGTGCGATGCAAGAAGCCTCCCTAGACCCTGGACCCAGACCTCCCGAATAGTTGCAGTGTCCAAAATTATCAAGCCGTTGCTGATTCTCGACAGCGTTCCCTTGCTCGCTGTGCCACAGACCAGCCGAGCTTTTCCCGTTTTTCCCGGATACCATAGCTTGCCCGAGCTGGAGCTATATACGCCGTGTTGCTCTGCAGGTGCTCGTGGATGTAAAATACATCCTCAAGGCCACCAGAGTCGCTGCCTGAAGCTCAGGATGTGGCCTTCGCATGCGGAGCTGGAGCGAGAGTATGGGGATATAAGGGGTGGGTGCAGAGGACCTCAGATCTCCAAATCTTACGACCCTCCAATTTCAGGTCGAACGTTTCAGACTCGTGCTGCGAGCTCTTTTGGGGAAGGTGGGGCGTTTCAGGATTGGCCGTCAGCGTAAGTTCCGAACACCCCAAAAGGCATCCAAAGGCAGTCTCCTTCTTGAATCCCGGTGGTGGGACCTGGAATGCTGAGCGCCAGGAAAAGTACAAAGCTCTGAAAGAGGAAGTTCAGACGCTCAAGGCAAGACGAGGGTCTCGACGAGTCTCGAGTTCAGGCTTAGGCCCCTTAGGCTTGACAACTCGCGTCAGAATTGCAGGATTGCTTCCAACAGTTCTGTTCCCAGCTGGGATCTCCGAGGCGGAACTCCTGAAGGAAAGAGCTCAGAAGCTCCAGCTTGCTCCATACGGTGAAGGGTGCTTCAAGCTTCTTTGGAATGCCCGGCAACGAAGCACCATCTTGTAGCTCGCACGGTGTCCTGGGATGAGCTGTGCGCTGAGGCCGAGGGCTGCGCAGCAGAATGGCCCGGACACATAGACGTGCATGGTGCATGGGCGTGCATGGTGCATGGTCGTCTGCTGAGCAGTCCAAGAGCCAGGCCCGACAGAGCTGGTGAAGCCACTGGAAGAGGCCTCGTCGGGTGACTGGTTTTTGGGTTTTTCGGGGTCAAAAGTCGAAGCTTGTAGTTCCAGCCTTCATATTCGTCCTCGTTTACAAGCAGCGCAGCCACGGACTAAAGTCCTAGCCGAAATGCTGAACCTCGCGTCCGAGACACTCTCGACTTGAAGCCTATCCCCAGACCTCTTGGCTCCAGGCGTGCGAGAAAGCGCAAGATGCCCAGTCCAAGGGAGCAAGTCAGCGTCTCAGCTTGACACACAGCCTTCTGTCCTTAGTTTAGGTTCTGTGCTCAAAGTGCAGGATGCATGGTTGAAGGGTGTGAGCAGTGCCTGGAGCAGGGCCCGTGCACCAAGGGGGCGAGAAAAAGAGCCCCTTGTCAATCTTTTTGAACCGTGTGAGCGCGTCCCGACCGCAGAGCTGCTGTGACGAGGTTTGAACAGCTTCCATCAGCTTCCCAGCTTCCCCGAGACAAGACCTCGAAAGCCTCGAAAGCCCTGCACCCTTTTTTCCAGGACCCTTTGCAAGACACCGAGTCCAAGGAGTCCAAAGCCGAGACGGTGCGGATCCTCTCCTAGTCAAAGGGTTTCTTTCAGAGCATTCTGCTTGGCCAGGCGGTGCAGAAGGCCCAGAAGGCCGCGGCCTCTCGGGCTCGTTGGCTCGGGGCTTGGGGAGTCCTTGTCTTTTTCTGGACCCTTCCGGGCCTGATTCGGATCTCGTTAGACTTTCGAAAGCTTTTGAGAGAGACATCAGGAGGCTTGCTCTTTATACTGCCGGTGGGGGTGGGAAGGGCACGGTGGGGGGGTGGGGCTAGGCCGGCTAGGCTCTAAGATTTTTGCGAGGCCTGCTTGGAAATCGTGATAATCTGGCGCGAGCCATGCGGATGGCCTCAAGTCTTGGGGACTTGAGGGTTTTTTCACCCCCCTGCCAAAAGTTGCTCCCCACTTCTTCATGGCTTTCCTCTCCTTGAAGACAGACTTCTGAATTTGCACGCAGGCAAGAGTCTCATCGTCTCTCTCTGACTTTCACGAAGGTGTTGCTTCCAGATTGCCTCATGCAGACTCACGCATGCCTACTTGCTTATTTAGCATATTTTCAGACATCGAGATGCCTATGGACTCGGGTTCGAAAGGACATATCTTTAGGCGCTTGCCGAAGCACAAGATCAGGTGACCGATGTCTAGTCATGATCTGAACGATCGTGCAGGCCCGCGCCTGAAGTTCCAGAGCGGCGCCTACAGCATCGCGAAGGTGTTGACAGTTGACAGAATGTCAGATTCGAGCAAGCACTGTGCAACCCAGAGGCGGCCGTGAACGCGGACAGCTGCGGACTCAGGTGGTCGGACATCTGCGAGGTCGCTTGATGGATTGACTCTGAGGCTACTTCCTCGGAAACGGCGCCTCGCTGGGAGCCCGCGTCTTGGATGCTGAAGCCATGTGGAGCAGGTACTTCTCGCTGTGGCTGTCAGGTCGCCGACGGCATCAGCGAGTGGGAGGTTCGCTTTGGCCTGGTCCACGGCATGCTGGGACGCAGGATTCCCTCAAACGCATTTCGGTGACCTGAAGACCGCACGAATCAAATGGGCTGGACCAGCGAATTCTGCGTGCGTTTCAGAGTGTCCATCCATCATGTAACTCACACCCTCCTCAATGTTGTATCCCTGTTGGTCTCGGATGGTTCACGGATGGTTCAAGATGATGCGTGAGGCTATACAGGAAAATGCAAAGCAGGACTTGTTTTCACAAGATCGTGCCCAAATGACCCTGCTGCACACTGTCCGAACGGAAATCCACATAATTGTCGGCCTGCTCTTACTGCTACTGCTGCTGCTGCTACTACTACTACTACTACTGCTGCTGCTGCTACTACTACTACTACTACTACTACTACTACTACTACTACTACTACTGCTACTACTGCTACCACTACCGCTAGCATTAGCGCCACAACTACAACCAATGCTACCCTCTCAACTACCACGACTTCTGCCACTAGCACGACCACTAACATTATCATTTCCATGGTCGCTCCTTAGCATTACCAGTACCGCTACCACTAGCACCAGTGCCAGCCCCCTTACCACATACCATCCCTGCAGACGTGCAGCCCACTCATGCAAAGCGAGCTCTCCATGGTCAGCTGAAGGGCAGTGGCAACAGCTACCTCACCGTGACCTTCTCTTCTTCGGACGAGACCGTAAAAGGCATCATTGCCTGGCGCCAGAAAGACGGCTCGAACAACGTCATGCTGGACTTGGCGCTGGGCATGGTCAAGAAGGGAAGATTTGCCGACGACCTGGTGGCTGGGTTGGAGGCCAAGAGATTCCGAGAGGGCACGCCAGCACGTCTTATCAATGGCAACTAGTGCAACAGCAACAACTATATCTACAACCAACAGCAAAAACAATGACAATAGCAGCCGCAGCATTGCCAGCGGCAACGGAACAACGGGGCAACAGCAACAGCAACATCACAACTGCACCAACACCAACACCAACACCAACAGCAACAACAGCAACATCAGCGGCACCATCAGCAGCAACAACAACAACGACAACAACAACAACAGCAACAGCAGCCACAACCACAACTACAACCGCAACCACAACCGCGACAGCAACGACGCCGACGACAAGAACGACAAGGACAACGACAACGTTAACGACAACGGCAGTGACAACGAGAACACGTCAAAGGAATTGAGGCCACTCAATGTCAACAACACAAGTCAATCTCAGCACCAAGTTTCTTTAGCCACCGTGATGGCAGGAGAAGTGACAAGTAATGTGTATTTCTACACCACCACAACAACAACAGCAGCAGCAACAACAGCAACAACCACAACAACAACAACAACAACAACAACAACAGCAACAACAACAACCACAACAACAACAACAACACCAACAACAACAACCACAAGAACAACCACCACCACCACCACCACCACAACAACAACAACAACAACAACAACAACAACAACAACAACAGCAACAACAACAGCAACAACAACAGCAGCAACACCAACACCAACACCAACGCCAACACCAACACCAACACCAACACCAACACCAACACCAACACCAACACCAACACCAACACCAACAACAGCAACAACAACAACATTTTGCATTGCACTCACTGCCAGAATCAGCATGTGGACCTCTGATCACTTTGGATCCTCGGCAAGACGGCTACTCTGTATCCGCCTTGGGAGCTCCAGCAGTCTTTGCTAGTTCGTACTTCACGCCCCTCAGGGCTGCTGAAAGGATTGTTGTGCACAGCTATGTTCGAGTATGTGGAATGCATCCGCCCCTCGGGGCTGCGATAGCGCTGTGCTGGCTGGGCACCCTACGACCGCTTCCTACTGGCTCACCTGCACCCGCGACTGCTGCAATGCAGGCTGGCCCCGATGTTGTGTTGCAGGCTATAGCTGTGCGCTAGCTGAGTTTGGTGTGATTAAGGCGGGCAAGTTTGATATAGAAGGTCTCACCCGCCTTTGTTATTTCACAGTCCGGCCTTTTGGACCTCGAGAGGATCGCTTCCTCCAGATTGCCAGGTCTCACTACCTGCTATACTGAATCTGCTTTGGCAGAGTACTTAAGGATATTCAAGAGGAAATCTCCTGATCTGATGCAGCGAATCAATGAAGAAATTGAAGTTCGCACGGAGGCAACCTCCGATATCAAGTACTCAGCACTGCAAAGGAGTGAAAAGTAAGCACGGCCACCCCGACACCCTACTGTGAGTCACTGCGTCCAGCACCCACGCACCAGCTGTTTAGCGAGCCGTACCTCTTGTGAGGCCGACACTCAGCGTTCCCGTCTAGTGACGTCTCACACAGGTAACGCTAAACAACTGGCAGAGGGCCGTAGGCAGAGCGCACCAAGGCGGCCTTACACGTTCCAAGTAGGTTGCCCAAATTGGATGCAGGGAAGCTGGGTTTGCGAAGCCTTACCTGGGACGCCTTGCGCGGCTACTGGGGCCAGCGCTGCGACAAGGCAAATTTCACACCTGGTCGAGAAAATGTGGGGTTAAGGATATGTAGGAGGAAACCTCCTAATCTGATGCAATGAATCAAAAGGTTCAAGAAAACGGAAAGATTAAATTGAGATAGAAACAAAAGTGCATGCAAACTAAAGTAGATCAAGATTGCCAGCTTGCTGACTGAAAAAGAGAATTTATAATTGTAGTTTGCCTGAAGCGCAAGCTGCCCACAACTGAGAGTTCCATCAAGTGTGAGCATGCACGCTGGTGCCAACGAGATGATTAGCTGCAAACAATGCTATCTGGAGATCACTCCCTGCCTGATTGTTCAGAGCATCGGTTGACGTCAGCCAAATGCAGCCTGCGTCACGAGCGGTGTGCTCCGCATGGGGTAGGTGGGTGGAATCCCCATTGTGCAACACAGACTCAGGCATGATTTCTTCCTCATAGCCGCTGATGGTCTCAAAAAGCCATCTGCTTTTGTTGCAAGGCTAGACAAGTGATATTGCAATCCCTTGCTGGAGAAGCTCCATTGCACTTGAATGTATAAAGAAGGTCTCAAGAAGATGAAAGATGCAAGCAATATGGGAGGAAACCTCCAAGTGAAAGAAAGAAAGAGACACTATTATCAACCTTTGTGCTAATGGAGTTCTGCCATACTAATGCATGGCTAGTCAAGCTGAGAGCCGCACCTTCAAAAGGGCCGATTTATGTGTTGAAAATTGTACAGGGAATCGGCGAGGTGCAGGAAGGGGAGGAAGCCTCCGGAGGTAGCCCCCACTCATGCTGTGAGACCTGCCGAAATGGTGGTCCACTGTGCGATCGCTATGTTCATCTCCGCATCCTCGGCAAAGAACTCATCACGGACCTGCCCAACCTCTTGTTGGTACTGAGCGTCAAGATGCGGGGGCAGCATACCTGCCGTATACCGGAGAATGTGCGTCTCCCGATAGAAGCTCTCAAGTTCGGTGAGGATCACGCTGTAGTACCACGTTCCTTGGGTGGTGGGAAGCTCGGTGAACCTCATCTGGCTTAAGTAACGGAGGCTGATGCTCCGCAACTTTTGGCGCCGGGCCGCCTTAACTTCACGCCATTCATCATATCCGGTCAATGACTGTGCTGCCCAATGCAGTGTCCTCAACCTCTCTGCTTGGAGCACCTCATGTGCGTAGTTCATGAACTGGGCGAGGATTTTCACCTTGTGAGTGTGGAGGTACTCTGCAACCCTTGCGCTGGTAGTCTCGGAGGAAATGCTCTGGTCCTCAGCAACTACCTGCTGGTGCACGAGAGCAACCAGGAGCGGAGTGAGCGCTTGCACCAAGCTAGTGCTCTCCATTGGAAACTCGGGTGTTGATGGCTGGATTCGAGGTTAGAATGGCTACTGCAAACGGAAGAGTGAGGCGGTTTCTTATGGCGGGCAGGCATTGACCATTGCTAACAGGCATGCAAGAGCTATAGCTGAAAGCTGCACGGCTCAAGAACAAGGAACTGCAGAAGGAAGCGCCTGCCACTGCTTGTGGACTGCGCGACGCTAAGCTCACCTGGGCAATGAGCAGGTGGAGGATGGGGAAACTCCTCTTAGAGCATGCAAATAGAGACAACTCGTGCAGGCTGTGTCAAAGTCTTTGTTGCCTTAAGCAGAGGGCGTACTTGCTGTCTACTTTAAAATGAAGTGGAGGAATCCTCCGGAGGAAGCCTCCCGCTGCGAAAGTAGACCACGGCAGAACGAATTCGGTTCAGGTGAAACTGCTGAGGACGCTTTAGAAGGGCAGAGACTTGCCTGTGTGCCGATCAATGACAGTGCTGATGTGGGACAGGTCAATGGGTCCACGCGTCAGCAGTACTCCATTCTTCGCCCGACGCACTCTGTGTCCACTGTCGATCAAAGACGGCAGGTGGATCCAGATCTCCACTGAAGAGTCCTCCCTGAATCCTGCAGTTTTGGTTGGTGACAAAGACATATGTATGTCACGTCTTTGCATTCTGCGCAGCTGAGAGGAGCGAATCTGCTGCCAGGCCCGCCAGCTCGTCCCGTGGACACCCCACTCCGGTGTTGTGGAGGAGGTCAGAACCTCATGCAGTTGATCGTCGTCCAGTGGAATGTCATGACCATGACCCTGTAAGGCTCTGATGTAGATTTCACCGTCTTCCTCCGAGGTCATCTGCTCCATGCGGACCTTCTGTGAGGTTTCCAGTACTCGCTGTACTTCATGAACCGTCACTTCAGCCCGCCAAAATTGCCTGGAATTAAGAAGGCTTTTCAAATTGGCATAGCCAGCAGCGTCTAGCGAAATGCCATACTTCACTGGGTCATGTCTGAGAGCCTGTGTGAGGAGCTTGCCTATCATCACTCGTCTGGTTTCGTGAGCGCCCCGTCCAGAAAGCCGATCAAGAGTACCATCCAGATCTGCTAAACTTGGTGTGTGCTGAGTTGTTGGCTGCCAGGCATGCTCTCTTCTGCTTCCCTCTTGCTGCTGTGGGACTTCCTGATGAAATGGATCCTGTGGATCTGTGCCTGCGGCAGCAGCGGCTGGTGACCAAACCCCCCAGGATTCATCACTATCATCTTCGG